CCCTATATGCTACCATCGTGTACAACAGTATCACCACAAATACTCGCATGTCCAGTTTGGATTTCCGGGTCAAGGTGATAGAGGGACTTCTATCCACCTGGAAGTGCAACCCAGCACAACATCCCACACATCCGTCATGTGGTTCCACCCCTGTAGATCATCAACACTACGCCGGGTGGAGTGTCGAGAAACGAGACTGTGTTGTGTGCAGTACAAAGGCAAAGCGACGCCAGACTCGTATGATCTGCAAGACAGGCAATGTGTGTGGCACCCTGCTTTGAGAGATTTTATAGCAAATGATTTATCATTGAACAATCTAATGTGGACCCCTCCCCTGTTTCCACGCATTGACCAAGACCGTACGTACCGCCCACCAACACTGCTGAGGGGGGGTGTTAGTTCGGTGTCAGAGAAACAGTAATCAAACCAATCCTAAATGATCATATGCATATGTCTATGTGAATGGAGTACACATTGTCAACTACTGCAAGGAAAATGCATCTCTCATTGTAGTGGTCCTATATGCAGATGTCACACTTTGCCTACAATGTACACTTTCCTATGGAGCCAGTGGGGGCTTACGGTCCACTGAGCACAATTGGAAGGCACACATGTAAGACGTGACATCATCAGTACATACGCTCTTTGCTAGAAAAATAAGTTCCACAAATTAGTCAAGCGAGGGCACTATATACAGAAACTTGCACAAAAATTCAGTGGTAAAGAGCTTGTCATGACTGTGTACTGAGTGTTTATACCAATGCATAATTGGGGAATTTGTCTTGGGAGTGAAAGGGTTATTAGTATATGAAGAATGGTCGGTGTGACTTGAGGTTTGACTGCGAAGTGTCCCACAAGTCTCGAGTCACCAGTCTGCTCAATGGCGGCAACATTGGCAAGATTACCTCTGTGAGACCTCTGGACTAGGTATCTCGTTGCATGTCCTCTTCCGAGGGCGAGTTACACAGTGGTTTACTTAGACTTTAAAGCGTTAATCTTAGAACCACAGAGGAAGAAATGGTTAATGATTTTTAGGGTTTTAATAGTAAGTATGTTTTGGATACACCGAAAGATTAATCTCCAGTGCGGGAAGGTGGTCTGACTGCAGTGTCGCCCATTATACTGAGCATAAACTGAGTCCAAGAAAGCAAACCTACGCAGGATCATTTAAGATAGCGACTCCTAATGACAAATGTGACCTCTAGGTCAGCCGATCTGGCATTGATGATGGGTCTGTTTGTTTCACGCGGATCCGGATCAGTGACCCATCGTTGGCTCACTGGCACCAATGCCCATCTAATGGATAAAGCGAACCGGCGATGGGATCACTGATCCCGATCGGGATCCTTGTAAAACAAACTAGACCGACGATGGCGACGACAACGACATAAACTAGTTCTTCTACTACTTTTAAATACTGCAACAACTTCCACTCTGGGATATTTGGGGCAATCTGTTTGTAATACTTGGTGTTTAATTGATGGGACAACTGCTACATGGTCTCATAATTTCGCCTACCCTCTGATTATCGCTGGCTTATATCTGGTGGACGAGAGAGCTAGTTACACTTGTTACTTTCTGACTTACTAGATAGATAATAAACGGTGCCACCATTCCTCCCATGCGGCTCACCATCGATGCAGCACCTACAGCAGCGCTCCTGCATTAGTGTTGAGGAGAAAGAAATGAATGGCTTTTGCCGGAGTGATTAGAATAAACCCGACTGTCGGCTTTGAGAATGGAGGAAAAATAATTATCCTCAAAATAATACGAGAGAGTTTGAGGGCCCATAGCAGCATTGGGTCTCTATGTCAGATTTTTCAAGTGAAAACATTGTAATGTTTGGCAATGATATCGAAAGGGATTGTCTAAAGAATCAAGAAAATCCTGACGGAAAACTGTTCGCTGATCTTGATCTGGCAATGAGTTCAAAATGCCAGTATTGTAAGATTCAAGTAGTTTCCTGTATATTTAAAGATTTGTTCAACCCTAAAAGAACGGGTCAGAATTCGCCCGCCCCCTTTACGTTCGCCCAAATATCGTAACAATGTATCTTTTTCACGTGAGGAGTCTTCAGGAGTTTTGTTTTTTTAAGGAGTTCTTTGGGAGTAATCTGCCCCCCCCCCCCCGAGAGTTGGTCTCTATTACAGAGAGATTTGTTTCTAACCATTTTTACTGTGCTGCCCCACTCTCTTTGGAACATGGTAAGCATCACGCAGGCGAGCAAAGTAGGCCTACAGTTTGAAACGTTGAATGGACCCTCAAGCTTTGTCTTAACCACACACACCAGCAAAGGGGACTGCTCAGTGGTGTTACTGCAAAACACACAAAGCTCTTACACACAAAGGCATGGTAAAAACCTCTCCCCTCTTTGAGCTAACTGCGGGTTCCATTTCATTCTTACGACAAGTCTCTTCCGTACGACTCATGAATCATAATACGTGCGTATGCCTTTGACGAGTTCCATCTCATACGTACACCTTATTAGTACGACTTTATCACGTGCGTACGTACGAGTTAAGATTTATGGCTCGTACGGACGTACAGCTACAACTTGATATAGGCAGTTTTGGCATCCAAGTTCTCATGCGCATCTGCATGGAAAAACACGTACACAAAAATGGATAATGTTGCAAAAAATTTCGTGTCGGCACGACACGCCCGTAGCATAGTCCGGAACACTGACTTTTGTTTTGAAGAAATCAGCGCCACCAGTGCTGACTGGTGGCGCTGATTTCTTCAAAAACAAAAGTCAGTCACCCTAAATTTAACAGAAACCATCCGAACAAACGCTACATCAAGCGTCGTGCAAGTAAAACGTTTTGTTTCTGGGAATTAATTTTGGTACTAATATGGTGTGCAAAACCGGAACATCATACGCACAGGTTCCGTACCAATTCGCTTCCATACCTCGTCGTCCGTGATGGGGCTTCTACGTATTATGTATAAAGTGATGACGTCATTAGCGAAAAAGATATGGACACGTGGTACGCGCGCGCATTTTGTTCGCCGAAATTGTTGAACGTACGGCATATAATTTGTATGTAGAGATACAGGGACGTACTTGCCAGTTAAAACTCCTTAAGTTCACGTGTGCAATGTAAGTCATATTTATGATTTAGCTGCAGGTCAAAATTATTTCGTCCTTTATTATAACCCAAAAACCACACAAACAAAATAAATATCTGCACTGGCTGCCAGTACTGTGACCCCTATACGATTGCTTGCTCATGTCTATTAAAAGTTTTACCTCAGAGTTGTGGGGTACAGCTCTGCCGTGACAAGATACAGGATATCGAAGGCGGTCGTGGCAAAAAATTTGCCTATCATCGCAATCACCAGAATCACCACGGTAAGGTCAGAGCCGTCAGCTGCATGGAAAATGATTTACTCAGGTTTGATCGCTAACTGTTGGGGGGAGAAGGGGGTTTGAAGGTTTTGTAAAGTAGTATTAGGCCCACTGTAGATTTAACAGCGTATAATCACGTTAGGTGATCATCTAAAAAAGGATAAAGTAATTATTATGAAAAAATATAGGTCAAACGTCACTTGCGACGGACTACAATTCAAAAATCGCCCTAGAGCCAGAATCGAATTGGGTCTTTTTATGTGGCATGGCTTCCCTGTGTTTACTTACTTTGCCTGAAAGGTTACTAAAGGTTGTGTAACAGACGGTTTGACAAACTGCATAGCATCCGACACATCAGCCCAGAGTTCAAAACACATGAAGATGTAGCTCACCCAACGAAGGTTAGGCCTCTGGAATCGCCATTGCTCTTGAAACATTTTTTGCTACATTTCGAAGTGTTTTTTTCTGTTTATTTGATTGTTCTTTCTGGTTTTTTTTTCTTTATTATTTTTTTTTTCAAATGTTGTGTCATCATACATTTTAAATCTTCACTAGACACGGTTCATGTAGTACTTTTTCTTCTCACCTTTTGAGCTCCCCCCCCCATGAATCCGTATTCTGGTTTGTAACTGAAGCGGGACAAACCCTACGAATTTACAACTTCTTGTGTGTTATTTACTAAATGTCTGTAATTCTGATTACCTGACTTGGGAGGAATTACACCCGTCACCACGCATGCCACGCCACTCGCAAAATAGTAAAAGATAAGTGGGCGTCGGCGACCAAGCCTGAAAGATATAGTTGCAACGTGTACATGAGCGACAAAAAATGCAACAACAACAACAACAACAATATCACCACGTGTGGATCGCCTTGGCCACGGTGATCGTATATATTCCTACGGGCAGCTTCAACCACGTGCAAGTGCACGTGCGAACACTTCATGCTTGAATAGTTTATTTTGAATAAGTAGATTACCATCACAACACTACGCATCATTACCATCACAACACATCAGAGGTCCCGCACGATCGTGACATCACTGGACAAAGGTCTACAGTTGTTGGCCTCTTCACTATACCCCCCCATCTAGCACTGCTGTTAATGCGTTTTTGTTCTATTTTATCCGAACAATTCAGTTCAAATGAGAATATAAGTGACGAATAGACTGCCAATTACTGGCTAATCGTAGCGTTAAGTTTTAGCTTTGTGGGTCTGGAATAAGTAACACGTTTGATGTTCAAACAAACGAAGAAAGTAGCACTTTGAGCTGGAATTTCTTGTGGGGGGCTGAGGCGTAGCTAGGATTTTACTGGGGGGTACAAAAGGGGTACCAGCATCTTATGGGGGGCACTAGCTTTCAGTGGTGCGGTTTTTGGGCAAGATTTGTCAGCCTTGTTCAATATCCATTCATCCGTTTTTCAGTGGGGGGTACCTGGGGGGCACCGGTTATTTGTGGGACGGGGGAACGTGCCCCCCACCCCCCAGTGGCTACGCCATGCGGGGGGTGGACTAGAATTCGAACTAGCAACACAGCCAAAGTCTGTCATCGTCGGTCTCAGCTGTTAAAAGACCTAAGACACTTCCTCCTAATTGTGAATGCCACTGAAAACAAAATAAAAGAAAAGCAAAAACTACACACTTTGTCATGACGAAGTAGTTGATGACGTAACATGGAGCCTCCGTCAACGATATCAGAAAGAAGTTCAAATACTTGTTCCCAACCAGGTTACCCGCGTTTATGAAAAAGCCATAGTACACCACACTGCTTGCAAACCTGCAAACAAGAAAAATCAATGATGATAACCACGGCAACGACAAGGAAAGACATCGACATTAGCAAATAAGAACCCCCTAAACAATCTCTAACGTATATGATACGTATTTCCCCAACGTTCATTCGCTATCCAATCATTATCAACACTGATCAAGCTGCCACCAATCGTTAAAAAAATAACATCTATTGTCTTAAATTAATTTTATCAGTACTAATGCAAGTCGTTTTCCCATCTACATCCTCCACCTCGATTTACGCCTAATCCTTACCAGCAGAAGAATACGAACAGTGTGCGAAAGACCAAGGCAGGCGTCTTGAACAAATCCAAGAGGGTAGCCTTCTTCGTCGAGGGTGATTGCCTGCGGGATTCAGCAAAGTAAGTTGGACTGTCCAGATCTTCCAGCGGGGGTTTCTCTGGGTCCCAGCCGTCCGCTTCTCGGGAGGGTTTAGTTTCCAGTTCGATGGCGTTCCCGTTGAGCGGTGCATTTCGGTTCTGCACGTCCGGATCGCGCTGGGCCAGTAAGAAGTAGCCAACATGGTAGATGTTCTTGGACTTAGCGATTCTCTGGAGGATCTTTTCTGCCTCATCAACTCTGCCCTTTTGTACCAGCCACCTTATAGACTCGAACGAGAACCTTCAAAATACCCAAAATACCATTAACATATTTTTGACGCCTAGCCAGTCTGAAAACAGCAGCAGCTGTGAAGATACATTTAGGCAATGTGCGATAATATTGTCGTTTATCTCTCGTTTTAAGATGACAAAGGATTATAGATACTGGTGGCGGAAGCGGGGGTCAGGGGGCCCGTATCCTCCCTCGACTGGGAAAGCACTCCCCCCCCACACACACACTTTTTGCAGGTGTTATGGGTTGGGGCTTAATCGATCGGCTTAATGGCTGAAACCTGATGGTCTCACAACTGCCCCCACCCCTACTTTGAAAATATTTCCATCACCGTTGATTAAAGATATGTCAGAGTTTCATTTCCGCTATGTCGCATTGCTGTTTCCAAGAGAAGGGGTTTGAGGACACGTTCGAAAATTTTTTCCCCATTCTTAAAAGTGTTTCTTCTCAAATTAAGAAAAAGTATTTCCAAGGGGAAGGTGCTCTCTTCCACATACGGCTACAAGCTGGGAGGAGTTGGTACTAACTCCTGTTTAGCCAGAATGGGATCCTAATGTGGCCTCTAAATTATAGTTTGATTTCTCCCACGCTGAGATTTAGCAAAGGTTTTAACCGCGCTCATTTGGAAATTAAAATAATTAGGTATTATCGATCTCCAGAATCTAAATAGTAAATATGTTAACGTTATCCAGTGACCAGGTATAAGAAAGGGTGTTAGTACGGATTTGCTGAAGATCAGTACAGTGTTTTTATGGACAAATGATGAAGTGGACAGTGGTAGAGTAAATGAATGTAAAGCTTAAATACCCAGCCTGCTCAATGTAAACTGAACCTCCTCGTACTTCGTTCTCCAGGAAAACTTTAACATTGTGAGTGCTTTCAAATGGACGGTATGCGCCGCATATTTATATTACGGCCCTCGAAACTGAGCCCACACTTACCAAACCATTGGAATCAGTGGAAGGCAGAGCAGCGATATGGTCAGCTGGAAGTGCCGCCAGTCTGGCATCAGATACGCCATTGGAGCAAGCAAAGATATGCCAATGACCCAAGCCATTTCACTCATGAGTTGCGCCCTCACACGGCGATTGGGTGTGAACATTTCAATTTCACGAACGTAGGCTACCGTTAACATACCCTGCCAAAGAAAAGGGTATCCACGGGTTTATGAAGGACCAAATTATAACAGTTTATGTTACATTTCGTTTCTTTCATTTCTTCTCTTTTAAGGGGGGGGGGCGCCAAATTTGATAATTTGTTTATTGTGACCTGTATGGTATTTTTAAGGTTTGAGGTTGAATATTTTGTGGGCCTATACATAACTGAAAATGGCAAAAAATGTTCTACATGTATTTAAAAAACAACTACATAAAAACAACGAGTTTTCCTTTGGGGAAAAACCCCTCTACGAGTGAGAAAGTCAGTAAAAAAATGGTGCTATTGCAAATGATTTTCGCTTTGAACCTGTGTGTTGAATCTTTTATATCTGTGTATTTCTGTTCTTTTGTAAGTTGTTTATGAATACGATTTGTACTTATTTTTATTGTGCATTTTATGCGAATAAAGAATTGGAGTGAGCAAGAGGCAAAATTGATTTTTTATTTTATTTGGCTTCACTTTGAAAAACATCTTACACGGCTTTTGCACTTAACTGTTTTCCATGATAAAATTGTAGCTTCTAGTAGAGCGTATGCAGTTTCCACTTACTGGTATGCAAGCGCCATTGAAGAATCGCAGAGCACACATCATGCCAAAGTCCCAAGTGAAACTCAAACCGGTGCCAGTGATCACGGCCGCAATCACTGACCCTAGAACGACCAGCCGCCTCCCGAAGAGATCCGATATCTGCCCGAGGACGTACGAGCCGGCAAGGGCCCCACCAAAATGAATGGAGGTCAGGGTACCCATCAGGATGTACCGATCACAGACCAGATTCAGCTAAGACAGAGAAATATTAAATTTCACCACAAATATTGTATACTTTTTTTTTCTTTTTTTTTTTGGGGGGGGGGTTACGCACAGCGTTAGTTGTGATGAAAGTGCCATTTCCTGTGTACTTCTGTAAACCAGAGATTTTGCCGGAAAAGAACATACAAATAAACAAAACTTTGTTGCTTTTGGGGTAACCTCTCCCATCAGACGGTCTTCAACCCTGGTATTCTATGTATACTCAAACCAAAATTAGACATGATGTGTGATTTTTTCCAACACCGCCACCCCGGCGCACAGAGTCATGTCTGCCATGCTTTTAATGAAACGTTTGTGTATGAAAGTTCTAACAAAGTTTCGTAAAATGGAAACTGTGTGTCAAGATTTTGACGATGAGTTCCTTGGAATCATTCACGGTCCGCGTAAAGGGAAAATGGAAGCTGATTTGCTTTCGGAGAGTGAAATTTGCATTTCACGAGAAATAGGCCTGTAGTGAGATTTTTTTTCGATGCGATTTGTTTAACGGACCACATCTTTGCGGATATGCAAGACGGATTTTTTCCGAGGTTTCGGTTTACAACAATTCCGCCACTGCATCGCTGACATCTGTAGGAGCCATAAAGGCAGGGGAAGACTGGATCCTTTCGAGCAATGAAAAAGCATAATCATGTTACATGTAATGTAAACTTACATCAGTTACGCTGCTAGTTTCCCCATGTACTGAGTCGTAGTCCCATCCGTACAGACAAGCCGTCGTCACGTTGCTACTGCTGTCACCGCTTTCTCCAAGTTCAATCAGTTTGCACTCCTCCGCGACGAACGATGCCCCGTCCCAGGTACCGTTCGGCGGCAGGCTGCATCGGTAGCCCTCTGGCTCCCCGATGGTGAACGACACCCCCGTCAGAAGCCATCCCGAGCTGCCGGAACAGAACAAATACACCAGGAAGTTCAGACCCTGCACCAGGCCAAAGCCGCCGAGAATTGTCAGCGATGCGTCCACGTCCATCGTGTACGAGATCGACCAACACTACCACCACAACACAAGCCCTGCAATTCCTACACCCAAACCGACCGTTGACGAGTGATAGGGGAATCCAGGGCGCGCAAATAGCACAAATATTTTGCTGCTTCCGTTGAAACCCTCGTGTTTTGAAACTTTCCGCTGATCTGTTTGTGCTCGGTAAAGTGAACAAACGGCAAGGGCTCAGCAACCTTAAAGAGGCACTCGTGGAGCTCGACAAATAAGCTCAGACACTTTTTGCTGCTTTGAAACCCATTTTGGCAAGGGATCCTGGTCCACGGGGATATTAAGGGATCATATTCCATTCCCATTTGGGCTGGCATATATTGCTTTAACTTTCCAGAAATAACTTTGTATCCAAAGGACTGCAGCTTCAGTGCATCACAAAACCTGCCCCACAAAAGCAGCTCACTGTCTCTATCTGAGTGGTAGTGGGTGATTTGCCAGCGGGTCACCAAGAGGTCTGCTGTCTCCCGTTACACATCTAACGTCGGGTAAGGTGGTTCACTACCGAGTCGCATGCAAAGAAACCCTCTACTACCTGCCGAAAGTTGGCCTGGAGAAGACGGCTGTAAATACTAATCCGCCCCGGCCGGGCGAAATAGCAGGCCCAATTGTTTTTTTTTTCAGTCATGTCCTATATACGCTTCCGTAGCATTCAGACAACTGATGCTGAAAGTTTCAGTGACCACACGCCGGGGACTACCTAAATGACTGTGGACTGGTTACTCTATAAAACCTGGGGTGAAACAGTCTTGTGGGAGCTTGCAAATGATAAACACATTTTCATTTTGGGTTAGTAGGAAAGGGTTGGGGTCCATATTTGCAGAATGTAATTATCGAATCCTCGTACGTTGCTAGAGTGACCTGTTATTCTGGGAGATTTAAAGTTCTGGTGTCCGTGCCGTCAGGAAGCCGGGGACTTATTCTCCCGAGCATTTTTTCCCATTTTCTTTTTTTTTTTTGTTGGTTGCTTTGTTTTTTTCCAGTTTGTTTGTTTGTTTGTAATTATCTGCTTTTATTTAGAAGGTTTCTTTTAATTGAAAGTACTGACAAGGCGTTACAGGAATATATAGGGGAAGAGATTAAAATACCCCCAGTATTTTCTCCGATATTGCCGTAGTGCTTTCTTTCAGAAGTTTACTAACAATTTTTTTTTACTCTTTCCAGTCATTTTGACACAAGTTTGTGAAAATTAAAATATACTGCATACAGCCGGTGTACCCTTGAACGTCCAATGACGGTAACAACAAAATCATATGTCTGGGTTAAGTTCAAACTTCACAGTTATAAGGATGATGGGTGTTTTTAGATGCATGCCAAGTTCAAAAAAAAAAAATCAAGCCTGAAACACCCAAGTTCTTAGATTACCACGTTGCAGGAGAACAAATCCGAGTTCAATTGTCTTTTCCCCGGCCGCACACACCCATACAAAAACCTGTGCTAACAAAGTACCCCTTGTCATATTAAACTCCTGGCCCTAAATAATCATGCGGATAAATGACGGGCTATTTAATTTGTCCCTGAAACACCGAAAAGGTGACATGTATCTTTTTGTTTTTTCTAACCTTTTAATCTCCACGGTTCACATTATACAGCAGTTGACTTTATAATACCCAGTTTTTTCAGACTTTCTTTTAAAAAAATCAAAGAGTGATTTAAAATTTCATAACGAAAAAAAGTAACAAACTATTTTATCTTATGGGCCTACAGATCAATAACTTTTTCTAGGTCACAGATTATATTTGGCTGGTGCGTGCTTTGTTGCTTCAGTCCCCCGATGCACCACGAGTGTTGTGCCGCAGATTGGGTTATTTCACTCGCTGGGAATGCCCTCCCGGGTGTTGTACAGTCACCTTTTGGTGTTAGCACGCAAAGGGACACAAAGGCGTTCAGCACAAAGAATCCTGTTGGTTAAGTAGAACCTGAATTATGATTCTCGATCTCCATGCAAAGAGGATCCAACCAAATTTTCCGGGGGTGGGCCAAAAATGTCAGGATGTTTTTCTGTAATCCTTACTGCTTTTCAGGGATCGAGTTGAGGCTGAACTTGTTTAGGCTTTTTGCATGGTTTGGAGAAAATTGAAGTGTTATATCAAAACTTCTGTCCTCCACTAGTAGACTAAACTTTGCGATTTTTCCCTCTTTTGGGGGAGTGGGGGGGTGGGGAGACTCTGCCCTCTCAGAGCACATAAAAATAAACCCTGTGGGGCTCACTGAAAGGGGTGGGGAACACAAACAGAACGGTGGAATCGAGAATCCGTCTCAAAGTTCTGAAAGTATAATATTGCAGCTCTCTATAAACTGAAAGAGCATACAGACAGAGAAAATATTCTCTCGATCTATTGACGTGGCAGTGACTGCATGCGTTTCCTATTTCATTTTCTTTTACAATATACTCTGGGTAGTTTGGTCTTTTGTTACCTAAAATCTCTACTTTCCTTTCAGTAATTAGTACAGATGATCTGTGCTGAATATAATAACTTCTGGATATTTCGGGTGGTATCAACTAAAATTAGTATCAAACCTAATTTTCATATTAACATAACATTACCTTAAATGTAACATTTGATATTTTACTTATATCAATTTGCATGAAATACCATAGTTTACTGGGAGAATTGAGACATTGATGTCAGTTTCGTTTCCAGTGTTTAGAGCAGACATACAACTTTCTTTTATAGATATAACCGTTTTTGGTTAGTATTTCAACTGTGAGTGGCATTTTCCCTAGAACATTCTGGGAACTCAACATACCATTTCGTAATCATTTTTTCGTTTTACTTTTACAGTGCACAGTGATCACACATCACAACGCACAGTACGACATATTCGATATCTTTGAGTAATATTGTGTTGCATGGCGCAGGCCGCTCATAGTCTGCCAATGCTGAATGGGTTAAACCACGCTTCTCTGATGAGTCGAAAATGGTTTATATAACAATTAATGCTGTATAAGAATGCAACTTGGTACATTTCTGGTAGACTGAAATTAGACCCAAGTGAACGAAATAAAACTGCAGGCTTCTATGCGTAATATGCTTCTGTGTATAATCTTTGTTCATACTTGAATAATACTATTACATAAGTGAAACAGGATGTTAGAGTACCAAAGGATAGAAAGGATAGATGTCTCAGATATAAACATCACTAGTCTAAGCATGTGTGGGTGACTGCTCATCCTCCGGGTTGGCTTTACAGGCGAGCTTGGCTCCGTCTTCCAGTGTCTCCGGCAGAGATCGGTTATTGGTCTCGGGAAGAGGCAGGACAAGAGCCCCAGCTATCAGAGACAGCACGCCGAAAACGATCATGGGAATGGAATCATGGTAGACATTCTGCCAAAAAGATCGTCAAACCAAACATATAAAAGAAGGGATTTACACATGGGCATCGTGTGGGGGGGCACGTTGGTGTCCCCCACTTCTGGCTGAAAATGAAATAAAAAAAAACCAGGGAAAAAGTGGGGGAATGCGAAAGATATTTTTAAAACAATAAAATGTATGAAGGGGATGGCAATCGTCCATGTTTTATTTTAAAAATCGACAAATCCAAACGTTTATTTTCTCTAGTTGATGAGTTCCCCCCCCCGCTTGGACTGTTTAGGGTTCCCCCTAGGAAAAAAAATAAAAATGCGTGTGACGCCCATGGCTACGTGCTACGTACCTTGCTTATCGTCGGTTTGTCTCCAGGGTCCCTTAGTTTGTATTTTTAACTTGCCTCTTATACAATAGCACAGTAACTATTGTGCCATCTTCCCACTAAATATTGCATCTTTCTCAAAAAACGAGCATGCCCGTGGTCTTAAGCTGCTTAAATTATGTGTTCTGACGGCATCAACAATAAAGTTACTCCCCACCTTTAGTTAGCCTCGATCTGGCCATATATGTATACATTGTGGCCTGTCATTTTAAATCCTCACTGGACTGGGAGCTTACGTGGTCCCATGTGTGTGTTTGTGTTAGTGTGGGGATTATTGTTTCACAAAGCAACAGTTCACGTTCACTCTAGTGGATCCAGATGTGGAGTGTCTTTTTTCTTTTGTCTTTTCCCGTTTCTTTAGCTGAAAGTCAACTAATTATATAATTACTTTACGAGCATTAGTTTCATCCATAATCCACTAATTCACGTTATTCATCTGTGCTCATGGACTTTCATCGCAATTCCCTCTGTCTTTATAAAGCTAGATTTGCCTCTAGCTTGGACGACCAGTTTGCACCTGGAGTGGTCCCTGTCTATTTTTCGTCTCTTCCAATGGCAACATGAGTGTCGAGTAGACAGGTGGGCTAACTAGCACCACAACCCCTCCTTGCCTACCTGTCCCGTTCCAGAAAGGCCTATAGCCAACCAGTTGGCTGTCCAGCTGATGACCAATGGCTACAGTTCGTTCTTTACTCAGTCTCGGCATACCTTCAGCCTAGCCCCAAGCTCTATCCTCCAACTATAAGAGCAGGACCTTATAGGTTCTGACATGTATTTCTCCATCATTAATCGGACTCACATTACCAATATGAAAATGACAAAAAGCAAAAAATATAAACCGCAGCCCATTTCGTTGTACTTACCAGGAAGATGATGAAAGGTGCCACCATACCACCGACCTTGCCAATCATGGATGCAGCACCGAACGCAGCACTTCTACATAACAGAGAATGGAACAGGGACATATCGTTTTAGGGATATTTATTCAAGTAATGCCATACAAGTCAGAGGCTGCAGTTATGGCTTAACCTGACCAACAATAATGCCGGCAATGGCCAGCCTTCTGTAAAGTTTGTTTCTGTCATTATTACACGGGCTTTCCTAAGAGAACAGTAAACACAATTTCAGTGGCGTATCCAGCGGGGAGGGGGGCAGGGGGAATTTTTGAGGATTTAGTTTGGTTTAATTTTTTTAATTTATTTATTTATTTTAAAGAATGGGTGAGTAGGAAAGGAAGTATTCGGTTTTTATTAGCACAAAAGCCCTCAGTAAACAACACCAGCATATAAAAGCAAGAATGCCGGGAAGTGAGTAAGGCTTTTGATTGTTTTCTCCACAGCATCATGCTGAATGAGGACGAGGACGCATTCGCTTTTGGATCCCCCCCCACACACACACCAAGCTGGATACGCCGCTGCAGAACGTGGGAATGTTATTCGTCACATAGCCTGTCAAGATATGACTTCTGTACATGTGTAAATCCCAGTGGATTTTGGAGTTTCACTTCAGTGTTGAGTTACCGCATAATCCAAGAGCACGATAAACTTTGTTGTTTTAAGTGTCGTGGGCACATCAGTGAACGTGTAACTGTTTTCAATACCTCAAAACTGTCGGAAAGACCTCAGCTGTGATCAGGAAAACGATGTCGAAAGCAGCTGATGCAAAGAGCTTGCCGATTATTGCAAAAACGAGGATGACTACAGTCAAGTCAATACCAGAAGCTAAAAGATAAGACAACATCTGACTAATTTTATAACTATTCAAACTGTCCACATTCCGAAACATCATACGGTCTTTTCCAAAACACATCTTTTTACGTAAGGGTGTTCAGTGAAACTAGTTAACATACAAAAAGTACAAAAAAGATCTAATATTTTCAATGAATTCCTAGTTTGTGACTTATTGACAAAAAGGTTTCGTTATAATTTCTAAATTTTGTTTAAGGAAAGGTGTATGGGAAAACGTATAGCCATTGATATATCACTCCTTAATGACGTTGTCTTTGACGGTGCGTGGTAAACAAAAGTGCTTACAGTTTTAGCATTTTTTGTGGCCACCTTTTAACACGTTTTACCAACGACATGTTTACCGAAATGCGGTTAGGAATGTGTCTAAATGTAAATCTGTGAGAAAGTCTTGGGTGAAACGTGTTTATTAATAAAAAGTGAGTGAAAGAGACTTCAAGATGCATATTAATTTTGTACCTGTTTCCTTTGGTATCGCCCCAGTTATCACACAAGTCACACCGCTGAGAGCATAGACAAAGATGATTGGACGTCTGCGACCAAATCTTCGGTGAAATAATGAAAAAAGGCGGCATTTCAGAAATAATCTGGTCAGGCTGATTGGGTTGTAACGCAGTTAAATGTGATATTTTGTTGGGGACTTGGTGTTGCGTCAGTCTCCGACGGGTATGAACAGATTTTGTTGTGGCTGCATGATGTTGTAATAGTCGGTGTTTAAAATAATCTGAAATTAACACTTCAAAAGTTCCTTGTCTAAGCCCACAACCCAAGTCAGTGTTACAGTCTTATGTAAAGCATGTTTAACACAAACTTTAATACCTCTTCATTATGAAATAATTCAGGATGTAACTCGGCGCCTCCGTCACCGATATCAAGAAGAAATTTAAATACTTGTTGCCGACGAGATTAGTAGCGTTGATAAAGAAACCATAGTATACAACGTTGCTTGTGAACCTATTGTGTGGAGGATGAAGAAAACACGTCTCAGGTAACTCGATAGCATTACTTTAATCGATCGTTTTATATATTGTTACAGTCATATCTTTTACTACGGTAAGCTGCTTCTTGTAGGTGTAAATAGAAGCTATCAGCTTACCAACAATAGCTCACAATCAACGATCTTTTAATCAGAACAGGTGTCTTGAACAAATCTACGACAGTAGCCTTCTTCCCCCTAAAGTCCCGATGTCCTAGATGTTTGTCGTGTAAGGTAGACCCACCGTCCCTGCCATGTTGGAAGCCTCCAATCCGAGTCTTTTCGACGGTGGTAGTCGTTTCCAGTTCGATGGCGTTCTCGCTCAGCGGCTTGTTGCCGTTCTGCACGTCTGGGTCTTGCTGGGCCAGGAGGAAGTTGCCAGAAAGATTGATGTTCTTAGACTTGGCGATCCTCTGAAGAAACTTTTCTGCCTTCTCTATCCTGCCCTTTTGAACCAACCATCTTATAGAGTCATAAGACAACCTGGGAATGGACAAAAACGAGCATCGTCAAAACTGGCACTGAACGAAGACGAACGTCGTCAAAACTGTTTTGCCACTTACGAACTGACCCATGCTTTTGTGTGGCAAGTTCATTGTACATCCCTTGGACCAATGCGCGAAATCTGTTGACCCTTTCCAAACGCGCATTGGGTCGACAGATTTCGCGCACTGTGATTGGTCGACGCGTTTCAAACTCTTGGAGGCGTACTATTGTGAAACGCCCGTGTTAGCAGGTCTTTACGGCGTTTACTGCTAATAGACTGCCATTAAAAACCGTCCAATTTGGGGAGGTTTTTCAATTCAGCCTAATCATCCATAGTTTGTCTTGGTTGGGATTGGTTTGCATAGGCCTGTGCCAAGTTGACTGATTGTTGGATTGGTTTGAGTTTGGTCGGAACGGGTCGCGTTAGGTTTGGCCAATACGGGTTGGGTTAAATGTGTTTGGTCCATAACCTGTCTCCACTAGTTATGTCATCCTATCAGCCGAACACTAATTGGCACATGAATCAGCTGATCTACCAGGTATGTTGCAAAAAAAAATTACCAAACAAAGAATATCACAGGGATTCCGAAGAGAGATATAGCCAGCTGAAGGTGTCTCCAATTCGGTAGGAGGTAAGCTGCAGGTGCCAACAAAGAGATGCCGCACACCCACATCATCTCGCAGACCAGCTGTCCCTTAAGTCGGCGACCTGGAGTGAACATCTCGATCAAGCGCACGTACGTCACTGTCAGAGAACCCTGAAGAGATTAATTTCATGCTAGTACCTTATCATTATGCATATATCACCCAGAGCAGTGAGTTTGCGCAATCTGCTGAGCCGTAGGCCTAACCGTTTTGATTGTCTTTGAAGGACCCATATACAGTGATCCTGCATTCACTTTTTCTCGCGATATGCCGTTAAGGCGGCACTTCTATCCTGCAACCGCCCTTCTGTCCTGAATTTGCTTTAAAGTTTAGGGTTCAGCGAAAATGAACACCTCGCAGAGGCACGACTGTGTACCATGAAAGTGAGGGAGACGGAAGGTTTGCTTTAGTCTATTTACTAAACTCAAGCAGACCATTGAGTAAATTCAACCAAGACCGTGCCACTTCTTTGTGCCAAACACTGCAAAACGATTGTGCATTCGTTACGGTGCATTCGTTACGTCAAGGTGCAATAACAATGGACATTCATTGTTAGTGCATTGCATTTCTTGAAGTTCGTAGTGCGTGTATTGTATCGTTCTGAACTTTGCCTTTTAGAAACTGCGTACGTAATGTTTAGATTATACACATATCAGCATGTTAGCATGAATTTGTGTACTTCCTGAAGACATTCTTTACGGCGACCATGATCTCTTACTGACGTAGACTGCAGGGTGCATATGTTTGAAAGAAACAAATTCAGTTGATACATCTTATCAGCAACCATGCATAGTAATAAGCATTCCATTGAACCTTTTACAAAATCTCGTGGCCAAAAAAGGGAGCAAAATCCAGTTTTTCTCACATGTTAGTGTAGGCCGTAAACGCAACAGTAGACATCACATTGAAGTGCTACCGGTACTAAATAATCACTGAAATAGTCACCTTGGATTAAATCTTTATTGTTAACGTCTTGTAACTGAAGGTGCATATGTACCACACAATTGACGAATACCTCGTGATAGTACTTAAAAATTCACCTTTGTCCTAAACTTAATTCAGCTTTTGCGGTTCATTAACTGTTTTGCCCGAAGCAAATGAGTTTTTGGTGAGATATTTTCACTCCACCGAAATGATTTTCTCAGGTAAAGTGGAATTTCAATTTGAGACTTAAAGTCCACACGCTTTATTTCCAGTCTTTGTTGCTCTACTGGCCGCAAGGTATGCTTACCTCGACTTATGGATACATCCAGTATTTTTTCCGGATGGGAGAACCACTTTATTCGGTGGAGGGGTTCCAAAGGAGAGGGGAAAAGCACTCATCAGCTATAAAAGCTAATCAACGATTAACAGCTGGGTCAGTCTTGAGGTTTTCTACAAGCAAGCTGGTTGGTTCTTATCCCCGTTGATATCTTGGTTTTTCTCATTTCAAATGACCCGTTCCCTTCGTCGCATATGCGCCGACCGCACAGTGCCTGAACTGCAGAAAATTTAATAAACTGGTTTGCCCGTAGCTGTAGCCCTTGGAAAAACTATGGTGCATCTGTACAGCAGATGAACGTGTTTTCTCTGTTTTCTATAAGCTTAATACGACTATAATACAATCAGTGTTAACTTTTTCAGCTCAGTGCACTTTCAAAATTTCTAGGTCTTTGGGTTGTCTTGAATGGGAGGCAAAAACTCCATGCATGCCACTGAAAGATTTTATGTAGAACTTTCTCAAGAAAAATAAAACAAAAACAAATTGTGTGATTTTTTTTAAGTCCTGCGGACTTACTGGAATGAAAAATCCATTCAAAAATCTCAGACCAGCCATCCCTGCAAAGCTCCATGTGAAACTGAGGCCTGTCCCCGTTGCCACAAGTCCAACCAGCGAGCCAAGAACAACTAAGCGCCTCCCCAAAATGTCCGACAATTGGCCTAGGATGTAGGAGCCCGCCAGCACCCCGCCAAAATGGATGGAAGTCAGGGTACCAGCGAGGATGGCACGATCGCAGACTAGGTCCAACTGAAAAGAGAAGAATGAACCATCTCATAGACAAGCTGAGGAGCAGATAACGCAGTTTTAATTCTTGAAATAAGATGTCGTTTTCTTGGGGCTCATTACTATAAAATGTGTAAATATGTTGCTTTAAAAGTCGGTTCATATGCACTTCATGCAAAAGCGAAGCTGTAAATGTCATAACACTGTTATGCTGTGTTTTGTTGGTAACATACCCCTAACAGAGCATTGTTGACAACATGAATCAACCACATACATTTGGATCAAGTGCTCCACTACTGAGTAAACATGGGGAACAGCAGTGTCTTGCAACAGTAATCAGCTACTTGGTCGAAAGAACGGGTAATTATTACATTCTGTTGAGTAATGATCTGACACAAGGAAAATGGGTGAGAAAATTGACGTCGTCGTTAGGTTGACGTTTTACTTAGGATAGGCCTCAGTAAAATTTGACGCACCCCTTGTTGCGTGGTATTTTTCTTATACCCTACAAATGACCATGTTCTCTTTGAGTAGTAACGGGTATTTCTTTCTTAGTGTGTATCGAAATGTGCGAGTAACCCAAAATGATGTAATTTAATAGATGTTTATTCGTATTACATGTTCCCACTTTTTGAACTCTCAATATTCAGCTACTGAATTGGACGGGTCCACTCACATCGGTCACAACGCTAGTTTCACCGTACATGGAGTCATATTCCCAGCCGTACAGACAGGGCACTGTGTCGTTACTTCCACCTTCGGCTTCGTAAATCAGATGGCATTGCTCTGAGATGTAGCCTTCAGCGTCGTCCAAGCCTGTGCCGTTGGGAGGTAGCCTGCACCAGTAGTCGCGTGGTGCAGATGCCGTAAAAGCGACCCCTGTGAGGTGCCACGAGCTGCTACCGCCACAGAGCGAGTAAGCGAGGAAGTTCAGCGTTTGCAGCAGGCCAAAGCCACCGAGAAGCTCCAACGACGCGTCTACATCCATAACGATGAATAATCTATCAGAAAAGTGTACGGACTACGTACGAGAAGGTTAAAACCCTGTATGCTGTTCCCTCTATCCGAGTGAAGGTATATTGGAGAAGTTTGTACTGCCAGCTCTTTACAAAAGACATCCATAACCTTGTACACCTGAGTACAGCACACAATATATTTGTTCGGATTCATGAATAGCGTATAGAAATGAGTGTTTACTTTGCGGGAGGAGTTGAGTGTCGTAAAGTCTCACGTGTAAAATATGCGAGTAAGAGTGAGCTCAGGGTACTTCATCGTCATATACTTAGTCGATTTTACGGCCAAGGAAAGCACCAGACTTTGTGCTTTCCACTTCAAAAGAAAAGAAAAAGCTCAATACAAGATAATCTGAATGGTTAATTGACCATTGTTTCATCGTTTATTGTTACCAGGGAGAGCTGTAACGTGAGTGGAGTGGTGGACGTGTTAAGAACTCATTAGTCACCACCTTCTTCACATTTTGACATCGTTCCCAAAGGGATGGGCATGACAAACATCACATTTTCCTCCATTTCGATTTTCTTTCACTATTCTGCGTTCAAACATCGTACTTAACCATTCTGGCAGGCTTCCGTATAAGAAAGACATCGTGAATTTATGGATTGCATTGATGTTGCTCGGGGCAGGAATCTAGGTAATTGTATTTTGCATTTTCACAGAGAGACGCGAATATGCCTGCCCCTTGAAGACGTACAGAACGGATCCCCCCCCCAAAAAAAATGCAGTAAATAGCGTCATCTAACGATTTTTATTCGCTGTTATTCGCTGTTGCGCCTGAGTGGAGTTCGCAAACAAATTGTAAATTTGTTTTGTCCCTCCCACAACGGTACCTCGCTCGCATGATCCGCTAAATTTGGCAATCGCGCGGGTCGACCCTTGTGTGATTTCAGGCCGATAACACGCTGTGTTCCCCATCATCACCCCTTTCTGCCACCTGGATTTAAATCCGGATTTATCCGGTTCCCAGACCCCATGCATTGACGTGCTTGTATGTTGGTTGTTTATACCCACACTACAGAATTTCTGCCCTTCCTAAATACTCGAAAAATAGCATTTGTCTAGTATAACATAGGGTCAACAAAGAACTGTTTTCCTGTATTTACCCTAGTGATATTGAGTCCGGCACTTTCACTGCAGTGTAAGTTTGATATCCGTTGGGTTTAAGCCTCAGTTATGGGGTTCTGATTCACATTTGAGAAATTGCCTCGTGGTTGCTTTGTTCATAATAATGCTCCCAAATAAATTTTACTTTTCCGTTTCAGTGTCTTCTGCTCATTTAAGCTATACTCTAAACTTTGCAATGAAGCCACAGTATGCAAATATGCACTGTTTCACTCAACTGGTAAAAGGGTTTATCCAGGATTTTTTGCTGGGGGTCAAGATTTCTTTTAGTACAACGGAGTTTCTACATGCATTTTTTCCCGTAACCGTACACGCAAAAAGCCCCTTAGTGGTGTGTGGTTATCTGCTCCGAGCGGAACAAAAGAGGGCGTGTTTTAGCACTCAGCCATTGATCTCCATTATATAGACTGGATTGGACTTCGCATCCAAAACGCGTCCCACGTATGCGTATTTTCCGGAGGGTAAATAACGAGCGTTGCAAATTTTGTTGCGTGTACTTTAAAATGGAGTTTTTCAAAAAAAGGTTGAGGTTTTGTGCTTTAATCGTCAAATTTCGAAGAAAAACTGAATTGTGCACTTGGAAATAGATAAATTTGGAAAGAATAATGGTTGAGGTGTACGCAGCAGTGAATTACCGGAGATCAACATCAAGTTTGAAAGAAGGAACAGAAGGAAATGTGAGTCGCACTTTTTTAGTTTCAGAAAGTTTCTCAAGTTGTACTTTATAATGCTTAACTTTAAGGGCCTCGTAAGAAATTTATGACAGTCTATCTAGCCTATCAGGCTTTGTATATGAAACTTGACTATCTGGAAGTTGGGACCGTCTGAAATGTTACTTATTGGCAAAAGTGGTTTCAAAAACTGACTGACTAATTTGTCGCTTATTTTCCCCAGATTTCAGCGGAAAATCTCCACAATAGCCATCATTTGTGTTTGTCGGATCTAATTAGACGCGCTGAACCCAAATCGTGTGATAGACGATGAGATACGAGTGAAAGAATTCTTCTTCGGGGCAGAGATGAAACCAAAGTGAGAAGCAGAGCGCTGACGTTTCTGTTAAATGAAGTTACAAACAACGGAATTCAAAGTCAACGCAGTAAACGAAACTTTCTCTACACAATAAAATTATTCGTTCTCAGTTAAAAACTGACTTTTTATGCCAGAAAGTAGCTGTTAAATGTAAACCTTCAAGTCAGGTTGTGAACTCAACTTTTTAAGCTGATGTATGAGTCTATCTGTTTTAAAAATGTTAGGCCTAGTTTGGTCGCTCATTTAAAGCTGCGCTCACTTTGTGCTCACAGAAAAGATTCTCATACTTCGGTAGGCCGCATGTCGGTTTTTAATAAAAAATTTGCTCAATTTATGAATGAATTTCATTTAATTTTACAATTTTTCCTGAGAGTGTGTAAAATCAAACGGCGATCAATACACGTAACTCTATGTGCAGTGCATTTTCAGTGGGCGTGGTTTAAACTGATGTGACGTCACACTTACAAACCGGATAATCTTGCGTACACGCAGAACGTGCGCAAGAACTCGCTTGGAAAACTTACAACCGTCTTTCTTTTGCCGCTTTGGGGTACACTTCATAGAGGGACTTCCAACCACAGACATATAACACATAGACCACCAGTCTTGCGTGTAAAACCGTAATTTTAAAAAGCGTGGGCAAACAGTGGGCAAAACGGTGAATGGCAGCGCGTTCAGTGCGAATTGCGCGTGACGCACTTAGATTGCTTGTATTTGTTTACGTGTGCTCCAAAAAGACGCTCCGTTTTTTTGTTCTCATTTGTACTGCTATCTCTTATTTCAAATGTTGTAACTGCACTGTTTCGAATCTGCATGGACCAAATTAAGTAAACAAAGGATTTCTTCCACAATCAGAAAATGACTTCATTGCATTTTATGGCTGGAATTCTTCAACTTTGTGTTAATTCCCTGTACCGAGGGGTGAATTTGCCCGCGCTTTTGGATTTAGTCCGGTGCCGTCTCGGCCACGGTACCCCCGCCGATGTTTTGAATAGGAGCTGTCTGTCTGTGCGTTTATATGTTTGTGCTTCAAGCTCGTAGGAGTAGCCCTTAAAAGTGGCAATGCTTCGGGGAGGGGTTGACCATCACCCCCCCCCCATCTGGATCAGCGACTGTGGAACGATTGCGATAAAGGAAAGAAGGAAAATTATTCTTGGTTTTTCTAGTACTTGACATTCAATGAGCTTCATTCGTAGTCAACATCAACAACTTTGTGATTCGAAACACTTTGAAGCAAACTTTAAAAAGGGATTTTTTGTAAATACACATTTCGTCTGCAGACTTTAACCTAAAGACGTTGCTGATTAAAAAAAAATAGTTAACACACTGCATTCTTGGTGGTTTTTTCACTCAAAAGTTGAACAGTTTCTTCTTTCCATTTAACGAAGTTGGGGGTGAAATGCGCTCTCGTTTCTTTGTTTTCACTACCTTGTGATGGATTTTTTTAAAGATGGATTTTTTTCTCCAATTGCATTTATGAAGTAGGAGGGAATGTGTGCAATGGGTCAATGGACCTGGATTTATGCACATTCCACCTTGCATTTGAGTATTCCACAGTAGAGGCACGCGACTTTTTTGACACCAACGTGCAACTGAAGGGTGAAGAGCATGGGCGTAAATCCCGGGTGGATGGGGGTATATATCCCCCCCCACACACACACACTTTTTGAGGTGGGGGTTGGGCTGTTGAGTCATCCCCCCCTTGTGGTGAGCAAAAAAATTAAAGCGGGTTGTAAAGAATATCTCATACTTCCAACGACTAAAATGCATTAAATATCACTCGAAAAAGGCAAAACAATTCTTAGAAATCCATAGATATGCCATTCTGAATACATCTTACAGATGTGCATCAATATCATGAACATCGACCCCCCCCCGTCTTATGCTGTCGCCCCCCCCCTTCAAGTGGTTTTCATGGCGAGGAAAATCATACCCCCTCCCCCTATGTTCCCCGTCCCCCATTGCCTCAATTTCCGGCACAAATTTACACCACCGCTGAAGACAGTTATCATTTTATGGTAAACATTTAAGCTGGCTAGACTGATACACAACGAAACAGCTGATTAAGTATTTGAGTGTTTCACTGGATTATTTATTCTATTGCTTCCCTTCACAAACTGTCCATGCAACCAAACATGCACGTGCCAATGCTTCTTGTGTGCGTGCAGTCTTGCAAAATTTTGAATATCTCTCAGATTATCTCCAGGTAGGACTTGCAATTAACTAAACCTTATTGCCTAAACATCGGTTGAAATACACCGATGTGCGCAGATATATGAATTAAAGTATTTATAAGTGCGATTGCACTTTTCAGGATTGCTTTTAACAGAAAGATCATTTCATTAGAAAACTTAAAAAAATAAAATTACTTGATAATTTTTTATTAAAGCAATTAAATCAGAATATTTTCCAAGCAAACCCCGCCATGTATAAAAAAATACCCGAGTGTCGATTCGTGTCATGCTTTTTGACGGACTCGCACTCAGCTTTTGTGGACTCGGACTCAAACTGGTGAGACCTGGTGTCCAAGTTGTTGGACTCGACCACAACACTGCTTAGCATCTTTTGTCTTTTAGTAAAGGCAGTAGATATTTAGATGTTGCCGGCAAACTAAACGATTACTTAACTGAAAGATATTTTGCTGGCTACGAAATGATTCGTAGGACTTTCAATTCTTACCGTGACCAGCGGCATGGCTAAGGGGGCGGGGCGTGGGGCGCACCCCCCCATGATAAATCGTCGTCCCCAATCCCCCCCCCCAACTTGCATTTCGGAAACTGTACACATGCATATCCTGATAAGATCACGATTATGTACATGTATATGTCCAACATCCAGTCACCCCCCCGAATCTTGGCTACGCCGCTGACCATGGCAAATCTTAGTCTGGCTCTGTATCAACAGAGTCGCAGTGAACTTCGTATTCACAACGTGGGTATAAGACCCTTTTATATTTTCGGATTTTCCCCCGAGCAAAAATTATTCAGAGTCACAAATCAGATAACCAAAACTCTGTTATTAAATGTTAGAGGGGGGATGAAAAATAATGTCGACAGCTAGGAATTGAACCCAGCTGGGAGCTCATCACGTGAACTCAAGATATGCGTCCTATCCACGACACTAAAGAAACTGCTTGGAATCTGGTGGTACATGTAATTCAAAAACCTCTGTATTTAAAGCTTTACTCATGTACACGACCAAAGGGAGCGCTGTTTACCTCTAGCTGGCTAAAAACAATACATTTTGGTTATTTTTCAAATTAACTTTTAAATTCTACATTTGCATTCCATAGACATGCAGCCCTCTCACTCGTCACACACTGATAAAAGGAATTATTTTTCAGAAAAAAAGCAACCTTGTTTACTACCTTTTCTCAATATATATTTTCTCACATATTTCAAACGTTTTTCATTCACCTTCATAGACGGTTAACTTGAAATTTGTCTCTCGAAGTCGGGAATGCGCTAATGTTGCAATACAGTTAGTCGCCTGTCATTCCAGAAATTCCAGTGTCTGATCTGTTTCAGCATGTGTCCATTATTTTGATTTCGTCAGATTTCAAATGGAATTCTCTTTATCTGCCGATTACGTACTCAATGTAAAGATTGAAATAGTCTTTGTTAGATAAATTTCAAGAGTGTTCCGATGAAAATCATCGAATTTGTACAACCACGCTCAGAATTGTTGGGCCCGGTTTATTGCAAAACCGAGAATTTAATGTTGAACAACCAATCAGAAGGACAAAAATTTGTTTTTATTTATCACATTCAACACATTTTTCGTCTAGGCTAAGTTTGGCACTGGCGAACGGTCAAATTGTCTCACGGGAAAAATATAGTAACTTATGAAGCTTTTTGGTAAACGTGCAAAAATGATCGACCAACGCGAGATTGAGCACGAGAAACGAAAGGTCATGAATTTAAGGCCCCAATTTGAAGTTAACCGTTTATGAATTTGAACAAAGCAAACCTGAAAAAGAATGTGCGGGAAAACGTATAGTTAGTTATGCAAATCTCCCACATATAAACTATAAACGTTTAAAGAACAGGGCTCAGAATAAAGAAAATTTAGTTTTTGAGGACCAAGTATCAAAGCAAATTCTTTCCCTGAGGTAAAGCTGTTTTTTGTTGTTGTCTCAGCTCTACACTGAGTGGAGGCTCCCTTTGCAGAGAATCTTAAGCATATCAAGGCAGAGATATTTTATCTTGGTCTGAGGCGGTGGAACTGTCAAAGTGACCAGGCAAGCGACGTCACTTTTTGTGCCTACCACAAGCAGAAGCGGACCACGAGTAACTTTAAGATGTACGTCCGTCGACGCAACTGATGAGAGTGCAAGTATATACTGCAGAGCAATGTCTGAAGACTGTAACAGTGTAAGTGTATGCATTAACCATAACGGCACCATCCAGCACCTAAGAATAAAGGTGGATGAAAGTTCTCGATTTGTTTGCTCGGTTAGGTTTTATTTTTCATACGTGAGCGGGAGGAGGCTTTGGTTTAGCGAGCTGGGCCCCATCACTAATAGTTTCAGGAAGGTGAGTGTGGCGTGTTTCCGGCAACAGGGAAACCAGAAGGCCGGCCACTAGAGACACAGCACCGAAGATCGTCAGCGGTACCCATTCAGCCACTGTATTCTGAAAAGTAAACATCGACACAACGCGTGAATAAGTAGGACTAACCTATATGGGCTGTGATCTTAGCCAAGTTCATGAACGTGAGACATCCTATCAGTGTGGCCGTATATCCTGACCAAACTGGACTAGTTCAGTTCAGTTCAGCTCAGCTCATCAGTTTGGCTCGTATTCTCAGAGGTAGGGCAAGAGTTCCCACGAGAAGGGGTCCCCCCGCTCCCCTAGGCCACGCATCGTGCAGCCGCATCGTGTGTAGAAGATAGGCTTGCGCGTACACCATGGAATCAATCTCTTTTGGAAGAGGTGTGGTTCTTAGAAGAACCGGTGAGTGTTCACTCACCAGAGCATCCTGGCCGAAACTTCGAGTTAACACTCACCATTTCTTTCTAAAAACCACACCTCTTCCTAAAGAGATTGATTCCATGGTGTACCCGCAAGTCTATATCTCATGTAACTTCCACCATGCAAAGCTTCAAATCTTACTGACAATATATTAGACTTTAGTCAATAAATCCGTGTTTCATAGAGTCCAAAGTCCACACAACATCAGCATCATATGAATTCAGGCTGTATAATAAAAGGGCACATTTTAATGTAGTGACCATGATATCACGGGATATATCATGACTACCAACAGGGAAGTGGGAAGCTAAGAGTCTATGAAGAAACAACTCATACAACACTGGCAACACAATCCAAAGGTTACTCTGGGGGCTTTGAGATATTAAAAGACCTTGGGGAGTTTGTATTGTGAACCAAGGTTTGCTTCATAGTTATAAAATGCTAGCCATATAATCGTTATTGAGGTGTCTGTTGGGCTAACACTATCATTCTTTCCAGTATAAAGGCCGATTCATACTTCACGCAAAAGCGCAAACGAACGAAATATTTTTGACCTCGGATCAGATATTCGCGTTGCGAATTCGGAAAAGTGGAACACGTTTCGACTCGAGCGAACTTTCGCTGTGAATCTTTTCGTCAAACTCGCTTCGCTTTCTCCTGAAGTACGAACAGGCCTTAATGGTGTATTTACACACATTCAGTGCATTCTTTGGTTTGAAAAGGAAATATTTCTTACAATCGATGAACGTTACTTCACCGTGCCCTGGACCCTAAAACAGGCAACTGTATTTTCACTAGTAAAATTCTGCCTGAAATCCGCGAAGACTGTTTCTGTAAACAAATTCCAAGTTCCAAACTGAATATGAAACTCACAAGATGCACGAGAAAGGGTGAGATAACAGCTCCAATTCGTCCAACCGTGAAGCAGGCACCCAAGCCGATATTCCTAGACAGTAAAAGTAAAACTTCTAACGTGAAAATAAAACTGCAGATGTTTCATAATTTGAAATGCAATTAAATGCATGAAGTGCGCGAAATATTTACCCTTTGGGAGACCGCATCCCTGCATTTAGATACAAACCATTTTGGAGCCTTGATTTGTGTCGAGTACACTGGTCAGGAAAAGTCGGTGATTCCAAATCCAAATTTGTTCAGTATTTCCATGACGTGCCGATTAAAAGCTGCAACTTTGGTTTCAATCGCCGCTATTTTAGACTGAAAACTGAAATATTCCTTCAAGTCCACACAGATGGAGTTGCATGTGCACGGCTCGGAAATTGCCTCCCGGCTGTAGTATTATCTATATCTACAACAACGTTTACTGGCAGTGCAAAAGATATAACACGAGTTGGTAAGTATCCGGTTTATGAACAAGTTGTTTCTGAATGTGATACAATAACCATGGACCTTTGGAGCATTGGGCAGTTTGTTTCGAAATTAGGAATAAAATTAAGAGTATGCAAATACTAATCCATTGACAGAGGAAAAGGAATGTTTGAAATAAAAAAAATTACTTATTAATCTAAACGCTTTACCTTAAAGTCGAGTCAAAGACAACTATCGGTAAGCTACGGATGCCGCATTATATCTTAAAGCGAAACCTATATATTCAATAAGTGTGTGACAAAAAGGGGGGGGCAATTAGCATACATTTTGGCACGGATAGATTTGGGGTAATCGAATTTACCTTAACACTGTTGGGAAAACCTCGGCCGAAATCAGAAAGACGATGTTGAAAACTCCACCAACAAAATATCTTCCTAGCATAGAAAAGGCAACGATGACTACCACTAAACTGACGCCACTCCCTGTATTGGAAATACAATAATAGAAGTTGTTTTTTTGTATTTACCACAGAAGGTCAGTTGGTGTTAGGCTAAGAGTTTCTAAGCGTTGCGGTTGTAATTGTACTTACAAAGAAAACGGCGAAGCCTACCATCTGCTGTCAATTTCTTAACAAAAAGCACCCCCTCGTCTCTCTGGGGGAGATAAATTACCCTCTGCAACATATAAAGCCCTGTCCAAATAGCCTTCATAAAGGTAATAAAAATACAATAGTACATCAAGTATTATACTTCCCAATACCCATAACCGTCTATAACAGACTTACCTATTTTTACGGGTGTAAAAGCCACAACTGTACATGCGATTGCCGACCCAACAAAATATGCCATGAGTGGTCGTTTACGCCCAAATCTAAAATTGAAGACAACATGAAAAATAGAATCGCTGACATTGATGATTCAACTTATCGCTATAAACTGAAGATAATCCCCCCCCCCGCAACACCGTGACTATGAGGAAAACTGTGGCGAAATACAAAGAATTATGTTGTGACTTGTAACCGTCAGTTACACAGCCAACCAAAAAAAGGAAAGCTTATCTACCTCTGCATGAAATCTGAGAAATACTCCATTTCAGCCAATGGGAACTTCGGGGCAATATCAAAACGTCTCTACATGGTGGAATGCAGTGTTACCGATGACCCGAAACCAGTCGAAAATTGTATTGATCAAGTATGAGTGTCGCTTCTTGCTTCTTCAACCGATATCTGATTAAGCTGGCTAAATGGTATTGTCCAAACAAATTTGACTGTTTGGTGAGATCCATTTTTAAGCATTTCTACAACAAGGTTTCCCCTTGCCTGGTAGATTCTTACCTTTTCATGACAAAGTAGTCGATTGGATAGCAGGTCAGCTCGAGGAGAGCAATCAGGAAGAAGTTGAGATATTTGTGCCCAGCTAAATTTGACGTGTTTATTACCGATCCGAAGTATACACAATTTGCTGTGAACCTTGCAGGGAAAAAAGAGAAGATAATGGGCACATGTTTTGAAGGGGAAAATGGGGCCACGCCTTCCCCAACAAAACAGCTTTTCTTAACATTATGAAAAGAAGAGGGTCTTCCATTTCCCTTCTTTCCAAAAGGGTACAAAGAGCCTTCACATTGGGCCTGCATCCTAAGGCATATAAGGTTACATAATAAAGATACAATTTGTTTCACCTCTCGCGGCTAATAAATGGAGGTTACATTTGAATCAACACTGTAAACTTATAGACTACAGTACCGATATATATCCAGGAGCCTTACTATTTCACAGTAGCGAAAGTTTTCCTGGTGCACGCTATTTTTAGTAATGTAGCCTGGTAACAAGATTGCTGTATTTACTGTTAAATCAACACCTTTGTGCTTTTTCTGACTAAACGTTAGTTCATTTTCAATACGGGCGTTTCACAATTGTGCGCCTTCAAGAGTTTGCGACGCGTTGACCAATCACGAAGCGCGAAATTGGTCGACCCAGTGCGCGTTTAGAAAGGGTCGACAGATTTCGCGCGTTCTGATCGGCCAGCGGGTCCAAACTCTTGGAGGCGCACTATTGTGAATCGCCAGTATTATCGTCTGAAGCAGAATATCAGTTTTTGGAATATCCGTAAGAATGGCATTTGAAATATAAGTCACTCCTTGTTAATACAGCTCTTTTTGTCTGCAGCACATTATTTCATGTTATTTTGAGAAATGTAAATTTCAAGCAGGAGCCTTCCGTCTTACCGGCTGAGTTCAGACGGCTTGTTCTCGTACATTCACAAAAAGTTCCATTTGTTTTTGTGGGTCGGCCGGGAACAAACGACCGGTTATTGCGACTAGCAGTTAATGGCGAGCAACATGCACCATGGCGGGGGCCACGGGCGTTATTCGAGAGTTAATGTTTGGATAACTGGGCTGAATTCTTTTCTATTTAACAGAAGCATTCATTTCTATGTTAAGAAAAATAATTATGTTAATTTTGCCAAACTTCCCATTGTCTCTGGCTTTGTGAGCCATCTCTCTACTTATTGCAGCTATTAAAAAATAAAAATCTCACGAGTTTTTCGGTGTGTTCCTGTTAAACCCTGGCGAGAAGGTGGTGTGTGATCCGGTTCGGAGAACAGTGTTCTTGAGTTTTGTTCCCGCAGTTCGAGCACGAGAACAAGAAACCCGTGTCAAGAACGGGCCGCCCTAACTAGGCCACCAAGTCTGAGCGGATGGGAACTTGCCATTTGCGCACAGATTCGTACGCGTCATAGGGCCTTTTCGAAACCAGTAGATTAGGCTTCGTCTTTGGCTTTGCTGGTACCAGTCAGATCCTGTGCATGCAGTTTCGAATGCTGCCTCAAAATGACTGGAACCAGCAGAGCCGAAGACTAAGCGTAATCCACTCGTTTCGAAAAGGCTAATATAGATATATACTGAATGAACTTCGCGTTGCACGAGCCTGGTTGAAAACTTTTTTAAACTGATAATGGTGTACTTGGTGTATCTCGGGGTGCATACACTTGACAGCTCCATTTTCCATCGCAGCATAACAACTTGAAGCCCGTGTCTGGGCCATTTTGGTTGTAAAAGAGCTAATACCTCGAAGCTACTTAAAACAAATCAATTTGCTCCTGGAGAGAAGTCAATGCCAGCGAGGAAGCTGATGTTTGGGGAAAAATGTTCCTAGGTATTCTTTAATCAAGTTGCTTTCCCCCTTTCCACCCTCCACCCTACCCTCAGGTGTTTCCACGGTCATCTTGCTGTTTCTTCGTCTCACACAGGCTACAACTTTAAGGTAAAAAACACATTACTCAGAGGCAGGCTTCCGCTAACTTTCCTCGAATGATTTCACATCCGAACGAAGATAGGGGTGATGTGTAAATTACTATGTCGCTGGGAGGTATTAATATCTGTTCCGGAGGAAGTACTGCTAATTGTGAAAATCCACTGTTTCAGTCGGCCTGGGGGATATTTGTGTTAATGTTGTGCGGTTTTCCGAATTGTGTATCTGGTTTAGTGTCACAATTGTCCAATCCTTCACATCGATCCTTTTCAATATTAACATTAATATTAGTTAACTCTACAAGAACAACATGCTAAGTGGATCTCTGCTGACGTTCAAGCGGTGTTTTTCTAAACAATTCAGATCCCAAAAAGCAAAATCACTGGTACAAAATCAGCACGCATTACTGACGGCACACGTTCCTCGAGCATGCATGAATCATACTAAAATACACGATGTCTCGGTGCCTTGTCAATGTTAAATACTTAAAAACTCTAAATTCCCGGGGCTATATGCAGCTGCTCTGTCGATGTCCTCTATCAGAGGTCATTGGCCTCGAGTCATTGACCTCTGTAATAAAAGATGGATCCAAACTTCGTGAAGTCCTGCGGCGAACAGTCAACACGCGACTATGAGAAGTGAAACTGTCACGATCAGCAGCCACAAGCAAGACCTTTGGAAACAGCCTCTATGTCTATGTGTCTATCCTAATTTCAATAAATCAGTATGCAAGGCAAACGGCTGCTTTATATAGATGTTCATAAGTTGTACAATGTTTTTGGTGAGCCCCCTATGAGACAGAAACCTGCCAATGGTTTCCTTGAACTACTATCGAGGACATCCTCCCTTGCATCTCTGTCTTCTTTTGCAGAGGCTTTTGTCTTGTATGTCCTCAAGTTACGCCACACACCTTAACACACCACTGATAATAGACGGTACTGAAGTTCCCACTCATTTGGTATACTCACCAGCAAAGAAATAATATGAGAGTCCGAGCAGCCATCTTCTTCGTGGTAAACAGGTGAAACGTCGAATACAGTCGTTTTCGATCCCTCATGCCGTGATTCGATTTCTCAATCATCGATACTGTCGATGGCAGTTTGCCATTCTGAACTTTTGCGTAGCCGTTTCTGTGATCAGTCGCATCGCTGGACTCACGATCGATACAGGAAACATCCTCCAGTGGGAAGTCTTTAGTTTCATCGTGGACACTCAGCACCTTGGAGTAAGGCACTTTATTGGACTTGGCAAATCTGGCGATGATTTTTTCCGCCTCCTCGAACCGACCTTTTTGAACCAGCCACCTTGGAGATTCGGAACAGAGACTGAAGGAAACATAATTTAAGATTATATAATACATTGCATTTTGCACTAAATACTAAGTACTATCATTTGAGTTTAAGAGTAAAATCTTATTAACTGATACGTGTATTTAACTTTCCTGAAAATCTCGATATGACAGTTTTATATCTCACTACAGATAAGTCGAGCGTGCGAATTACCATCCATTTGATTTGTTTATAGTTAAGGCCAAAATAAATTCCCGTCAACTAATTGATGGATAATTGGTCACATGACATTCAATTATCCGTCCTAACGCACGACCTACCCGCGACACAAAAACAGTAGTTCCATTCTACAAGCGAATGGAAGTTCCATTGGTCAGTCACATGTAATAATTATATTAACTTGGAAGGGATGCCAGAATTTATTGAGGGAGGAACTTGATTTGGATTAATTTTGCATGAAAGCGCTGGCTTCCGGCCTTGATTAGACTATGGGGTTCGAGACCTCCTCCCCCCTACCCTCCCCGCTGCTGGCTTCAGTTAAATTTTATGTCTCCACGGATATCTGTGCACAGACAAGACTGTCTCTTCACAGAGGTCATTACTATGAGTTAATGTGTTACATGTAGTACTTCCCAGTGCAAAGACTCGCACTTTGACTCAAGTCCTTATAGTAATACCTATTGCAAACACCCGGGCATTTTTAACATACTTTTTAAGCCAAATACTTCGTTTTCTACCGACACAGTCATGATCAACCTAACGCTTACATCATTATGCTCCATCAGATTTTCAGGCCTGGTTCCAAAATTTACCCTCTTTTTGAGCATTCTAAACAAAAAACAAATGCACAAAATCCACTACATCTGAGGGGTGAGTTGACCGCCTCAGAGAGGCCAACAGACTTGAAAATATCACGAATGAAATAATGAAGAGAAACACGTACATGATGAAAGGTAGAAGCAGAAAGCTTGGCAACGAAATGGCAAGCTGGAAGTGCCTCCAGTTGGGGAAGACATAGGCCAGCGGCCCCACCAGCAACACGCCAGTACCGTACATGACGCCGTTCACGACATGGCCTTTCATTCGCCTATCTGTGGTGCACATCTCTATGGCCAAAACGTAACTGATGACAACAGTGCCCTACAAATGGAACATCAAGATGGCTGCATTGAGTCAACGCTTCATGTGGAAATCTTTTACCTCATCGGCAAACGCACCTTCGCTTTCAGCTTATGGTATACTTTAGTTAAATTGTGAAACAATTGATAAAATTATGTACCTTAGCCTTATGCAGATAGGCCTTTCTTGCGTTAAGAGGCCAGTTTCTATTGTTAGGAAAGTCTGAACCACATTGTGGAGACAAAGCATTGTCCCACACTGTAAAAACGCTACTAAAAAAAGTTGGGAAAAAGCTCAGTTAGCAAGATGTTGGTCATTTTCAGTGTAAATGTTTGTTATTTTCTGAAGGATTTACCATACAGTTGGACAGTCACCTTGTGACCAGGAGTCAGAAAGTTGACATTTACGCCAATTAAGGGCAAAAGTTTGTCAAAATATGTTCAATTTATTTTACAGTGCATACTGTTTTTGGAGCCCATGATATTTTTTCCAAAAACGTGTGCAGTCCCCCAAACCCCATAACAAGTACACGTATGAGTGAAGAAGAATGTCAGTCACTGAGTGGACCTCTGAACAAAAGATGTCCACACAATGCAGGTAGTGGAGACCTTGTGTGGACTTGCCCACGTCCACACAAGGTTTTCTCCTCTCTCAGAAACAGCTGATGCATTTGGTGTTGGGATTATCTGTTGCAAATGAAGAGGAATAGATAAGGAAATCATCATCATCAGGTCTAGCACGAGAGAGCGTCCAGTTCAAGAAAAATGACTATATCACCAAGTTTTCTTGACTACATAAAAACCTATCGGTATGTGATGCTACCATATTAGTGTGTGGGGGGCGGTGGTGTGAACCTATGATATGAAGGGGAACTCCATTTGATCATCAAGTTTACTTAAACTCTGTTTTTGTTCCATGCAAATTGTTAGTATGGCACAAGGGGACATTAGAGGATATGGGCTTTCAGCGAGGATGTCCTTTGCGAGCAAATGACAGAACAGGCACAATGAATGGCTGTTCAAACCCTGAAACAACCGGGAATCTTCAGACCATCTAACAGCCGGGGGGTAGATTCCGCCCACCCCCACTGGCCGGGACTCAGCTGTCACACGCCTAACCCTTTTGATCATTATAAGCACAAACCGACCCCAAGATATTACTGAAAAAAGCTCTTGGAGACTCGGCGGGGGGATACATGGAAGACATGGACTTTGTCGAAGAGGGAGTGAGATTCGAACGCCCCCCGGTTCTTTTAGGGTTGATCCAGCCAACGTCGACAGACCTGCGCACACTATGAAAGACATGTAAATGTAACCCATTCTAAAATGTGTTTTTATATTGCATGCACTTCTTGTACGGCCAACAACGAACGCTACATGACTATCCGCTAAGATCCAAACGGGCCAGATGGGATCGTGCGAGGTCTTCATCGGTGAGGTTCGTGGCGAGGCCTCATGCACACTTTACTGCATGGGGATTCACTCCAACTGTACAACACTGATGACGGCAAAGTAACGATGACAACCATGACAGCACAGAAATGACAGGAAGGGATGGGCTGGTGAGCAGTGCTAAAGCATAAGGTAGGATGGCAGGGAGGCGTCTACGTACACTAAGCAACGATTGTACAGACACATGCCCATATTCTATCCAATTAGCATTGCGAGGTGTTTTCGTTCATTTTTTTCAGTACTCAAAGAGTGTGTTTCATAAACACACAAGTGGGCTCATAGCCAATGATTTCCAGTCAGTCCTTGTCAAACAAATGACCATACTTTCGTACGTTACCTTCCCAGTCGGATCCAACGCGGTTCCTACCAACTGCGCAAATTCGTATTCACCGCTGACAATCGAAGCAAAGGGTTTTTCTGCGCCGGGTGCAATGCGCGATTTTTCAACTTTGTCTTTTCCAACCAATTCGGGAGAGTAAAAGGGGGGAGAAAAACACAAAAGAAACAAGCGAACAATTCGTCAGATATTCTACCTTCCATGAAGGCGAAAAAACTGAAGAGTGAAGCTGAGATTCAAGACAAGTCGCCAAAACAATAAAAACATACACAAAAAAACCGAAGATGGCAAAATGGGGTCGAAGAATGGGTGCGTGTTCAGTGTTTTTCATTCCTTAAATTTCAATGGACACGAAACTATAAATCCAAGGACCCTGGTACCTGTAAATTCGTAATTTCTGGTGTCTGTTGAGATTTTCACAGTTAGTCTCACCAATGTACATCCTTTTTTATTATCACTAATGGGACAAATATTACCGATGGTGACGTGGCCTTGACGCAATGTTCCTACAGTGCATAATCTACTTGCCGCGCCTCATATGAGCACCTACCCCCAACCAAAACCCAACGCCAAAGAAGAGTGCCGCTATCAGGTAGTAGTTCCAGGCACAACTGACTACGGTTCCGCAGACTCCGAGACCGAGGAGCGAACATATTAGACTCTTACGCCGGCCGTAAGTATCGGACATTTGGCCCAGAATAAGCGACCCAAGGAGACAGCCGATGTAGCTGATGGACTGGATCGTGCCGCCGAGTAGACGTTTTTCACAGACTAGATCCAGCTGAAAAAAAATCACAAGAAATTCACTGAATGAAAAAAAAAGTAATGTGACCGACTGTGTAACTCTTCAAGTTAGAGTTTTTCTCTTTTCGTAATGTATAAATCGTTTTGAGGTAAGTTTAATGTCAGTCTGTATCGAATAATATGACTGTGGCATTCATCAAAGTGCCATCCGAAGTTGTGATATGTCAGAAAAATCTGCACCCACAGTCTGAACCAACTACATCTTTTTAAAAAACCAAATGATGCCGATGACAACAAGATATCAGAGCCTATACTTACGTCAGTTACCACGCTTGTTTCCCCGTGGGTGGACTCGTACTCCCATCCATGCAAGCAAGTGGTCAGCTCAGAGGTGACGCTGCCATTCCTTACTCGGTACAGATGACAACTGTCGTAGGTGTCCTCGTCCGCGTCGCCTCCCAGGTAAGGCACCGTCTCGTTCAACGTGAAGCCCGGTGGCGGCCGGCATCGATAACCGTCGGGCTGGCCCACCGAGAGGGCTGGCCCGATCATGTGGATCGGTGCCAGTAAAGTTGCCAGGCTGCATAGGAAGAAGTTCGCCTTCTGTAAGGGACCGAAGCCACCGACATTCTGTAGGGCAGCGTCGACATCCATGCCCAGCTGAAAAAGTGTCAGACACACGAGAATCAGATATTTTGGGAATACTTTTCTATATAACTTGTTTGAATGGGTAGCCCTACACCAGTAGGACTAGCATTGCCACGTTAGGCTCCTAAACGAGTCATAGGCCATACCATTTTGCCTTGATATGTATTGTACCTTAACGATTGTGCGGCAACACCCACGCCGTTACAATGGGGTAAGGGGCAGCTTACGACATCGCCATCAACAAAACGGTAACCACGCTCGGTATTATAGGCTGAAATGAGACTCGGTCGAACAACCTCGTCTGCCGTCAACAAAGGAGGCTTTCAGGGAGAAATAATTCTGTTTGGAACGTGGTGTCAGATGTTGGACCCGCTTTTAATCATTTTATATGCAATGTGCGTAACAAAGGGAGTGTAATCCTACGTCTTTAGGTGAGAGGAATGCATCTAATCTTCAAGGCGCCCTGGCGAAAGTCTTCTAGTTATGAAATATAGCCTTACTTTTCTAACGTCGATATGACGTATCAAGATTTAAAATTACAAAAATGCAATGTCAACTTTGCAAAAATTTATTTCTTGTTACTGTAGCCTAACAAAAAGGTCTCTGGTGCTGGGTCAAGACCCAGCTGGTGGTATGTTCGTTGTGTTGGCACATTCCTTGTTGGGGGTGCTGGGCCATGTCCATTGAGATGAAGTACAAAAGGTAGATGGACTGCTTCTAGCATCCCACTGATGGTTTGCTAGGAGGGTATAAGAGGCCCATGCAATTACTACTGGGTGAGACATTTCCACAGAACACTCTGGCTGGGGACACATCTCTGTAGCTTGACGGGCGGCGGTCTTTTTTTTCTCTATACACTGTGAAGTTAGTTGTAGCCTGTTTATTTTGTATAACGGTTACTGCCGTCCGTCAGTGTCTCTCTTCTGTCGTAAGTTTGTATTTTGTTTGCTATGTTGTCGAGTGCTATGGAGACCTAGCTTGGTCAATCTCACTCCTTTTTTTCTAGAGCATTAAGAAATAAAAGTGTTCCTTTTTTATACTTTTTTTCTGGAGACCAAAATAAATAACTTGTGTTCGGTCGACTGATTTTGAGTTTGTGTTCTCAACTGGCGGGCGTGGCCCCCTAAAAAGGAGTCGCCGTTACATTATCCATATCTGTATCTTGATGACGGACAACTTAAGAAGGCATCATGTGTTATAGTAACCGTAACACCTCATAAATATTCATGAGCAAATGGGCGCGTCATTGACCAAATTCGCCGCACGTCTTTGAAGTAGAACTGATATGGTGCCGTAGCGTGTCTAGCTTTTGGTGTGTTCGGGGGGGGGTGTTCAAAAGCGAATGTAACTTCGGGCTTATTTGACATGACGCTGGGGAGAAAAAGCGTTACCCACGGTTCCAACATTCTAGCTTTTATTTCCGTTGTTTCTTAGGGTTTAGGTGCTAATTACTGATATATAAATATTGAAAAAAGTGATGAATAAGTGTCAAAATGAAAATTAAAGTATTAAAGTGAAAATATCCGTCAGGGGAGCAAGTTCCCCTCCCCCATCTCCCGTTCAGGCTGGATACGCCACTGCCCAGGTAACGTTATCCCGCAGAGAATATACCACAATGCAATTTTACTTTGTTTTTTCTCCTTGCACCAAAATTATTTTTGGAACCTGCTCCGTATAGACATAGTGTTTGGCATGCAATCTTTACTGAACCAGTCCGTTGCATTTCTTGCCAGACGCCGAACTCTGCCGCTCAGAAACAAATTGTAAGTTGACCTTAAATTCATTACTTTGTCAATTTGCTCATGGATAATTATATGAGGTGCTGCGAACAAAATAATTTACATAACGTTGGCGACAACTGTAACTCATGCATTTTCGTAGGAAAATAATGCTAACCGCATGATAATCACATACACAGTCACATAGACCGCATGTGAAGTGTATCTAAAGTGACGAGACATTCTAATGCCCTCGCCTCGCCTGCAGGTTCCTCGACGTATGGGCCTACACACCCTAAGTGTACATGTACATGACCACGTATTGCATGTGCGCCGCGAAGTCCACACATTACTATGTACATGTACGTACCGTACCTAATGCGGCGTGAATTCTTTCTGTAGGAGTTTCCTCGGCTTGTTGAAAACGACAGAGACGACCTATACCTGGTTGCTCCCAGCACAAAAATATGTACGCGATGACGAGTACAAGTAGGCTCCGTGGTTCATAACAGAAAGTTTTCAAGGATTTGTGGTACTGGCCGCACAGTGTACGCGACATGAATGTATTCATTCTTACTACCTACATGTACGTATAGTTGCAATGACCTGCGCAAAAGGAATGCACACAACTGGGATCATCGCGGGACGCATGTAGCATCACAATGCATCAAATCTACAGGCACACATAACCTTGAACCCAAAAGGCAATGAAAAAAATCCAACTGCATGTTTCTGCATTCAGAAACAGCAGCAAACCTGCGGTGTACATGTTGTCTGTATAGTTTGAAGCAATGTGAAATTTACATTGTTCAGCAGACAGGCAGTATATAGGCTAACTCATTTCCCCATTAAGGTCGTTTATTTTTGTTTGTTGATTTAGGAGTAGTCATTATTCGGTGCTTTGACTGCACCTCTGTGGCATTTTTAACAGTTTTCAAGATTTATTCTTTCGCTTTATATATGACTACCATGCAGCCACAGTTTTGCCCATAACAGGCTGGCCACAAATGCACAGTACCTTAGAGTCACAGACCAGCTAAATCTGCCACAGTTAACGTTGACAAAATACTCCCACTTACAAAAATTAAAAAAATATTAAAAAATCATAGAAAATACTCACAGGTTTCTCACGTTTCAGTATACACATCAACTTAAAGTTCATTTCCTTTTTTTCAATTGTGTTTTCAATTTTCAGGCAGTTAAAGTGAATTTGAAAGTATTTCTACCCAGATGATAACCCCTAAGGCTAGTGAAGCCCGTCGTAATTAAACCAAATGCCCACATGCCATTGCAAAACAGAGTCCTCTGGAGATCTCCATTTAAAAAAAAATCTTTCAGAAATGCAAGCTGGAAGTCCTGTTGGTGGCTTCCACCCAATTAAAACAATTTCCCAAGTCCTAGTTCCCTGAAATACTCTTTATGGCAGAGCATTCCCAGATTAAAGGAGAGCTATGACGTTTGATTAAGACTCTACCAATTCCTTTGCCGAAATGAGAAGTCACGTGAGATTGCATTGTCTAGTATTTCAATAGCTAAATCAACTCTTTCAAAGAAATCAAACCACTCTTGTGACATCAGCCAATTCGGTAAAATTCTAATTGGGTCAGAACAGTGAAAAAAATAGCATAATTATAGAGAGACATGGTACCCTTTTCTGTATATTTTCAACAATTGTTGAAACATTGTTCATTTTGTTTGTTCTGGTAAATCTCGTTTTGGAATGGAACCCTTCATTTGGACTTGTGAGGAAATGAAAGCAGTGGGTGCGTTCTACGATCCACTGATGGTCCCAGGGGTGGATCCAGGGGAGTGGGGGTGCACTTCCCCTTTGTCACCAATAAATAAATAAATAAATAAATAAATAAATAAATAAAAGAGAAGAAAAAGAGGGAGGAGGAAGAAAAAAGATGGGTCATACTGACTAAAATTGCACCGTCCGTCCGTGGGTGCCAACTGCATGTCTGTGTTTGTGACTTATAAGCATGCACTGTACATTAATAGTTGTGCATCAAACCGAAGAGTTACTCAATTAACAGCTTCGGTCAGGAGCAAAGCCTTCATAGCTCTTGCCAATAACGCTGGACAAATGATGCAATTCATCTCACACCTCAAAGCAAAACGTTTTGTTCTGTGATTATTGAAGAAGGGAAGTGGTTCAAATCGGAGAAACTACCTAAAAGCTGGCGATTCTTTTTTCCCACGTTCATTCGAATCAGAGACTCTTCACTTTTTCTTCGTTTCTCCACAACAGAGTGTCTCAGAAAAATGCCAACCGTACAAATTGCTTGATTCCTAATTAAGGTAAAGGTGAGGTAGAATTTGAATCAGGCAATTTTTGACTTATTGGCCGTGTATACCAGAGGTCATTACCGCATTAGTAACGAATGCATGCAGGTTCACTTTGCCGTAAATTAACGTTGTTTTTACAAGTATTTACTGAGCTTTTATGCCGTGATTGCAGCACATTGCCGCACATTTACAAAGTAGTGTTTTACAGTTTCAACTTTGACCTCGATTTGCATGTCAACACGAATGGGGTGTCGCTACTTTGGTCCAAGCGCTGTGGCTGTATGCACTGCGTTAATGTAAATTAACCGAGATCAATTAATTTCAATTTTACATATTAAATTGCATTCTAATTAAATGGCATTGGTCTGCCGTCAGACGATTGCTGTAACTTATCTACAGTACATAACTGGCCCTTGCTTTGCCAACATAGCACCGTAAAAAAAAATTATAGTGCACCCGTTACGTCGCTGCAATGCACAAAATGTGACATCACCCCAAGTAAATTTACTTAACAAATAAAACTTGTGGGACCTATAAATGGTGAAAGACACGTCTGCTTTTATTCTAGGTGGCAGTTTAATTATGCCAGCTATTGCATCTCACTTTAACAAGCAAAAAACAACTTCATTCCCGTTAACTTCACGCGCATGTAGTTCACGTTTGGAGTGGGCCCACGTGTGTTTGTTTTCATACAACAAAATTTAGAAGCTACGTTCAACTGCTGAATTTCAATAAATAATAATATCTGGCTTATCTGCCTACTCGGCTACACAGAAATGGACCAAGTACATACAATATACATTATCACACTAACAACTTTGTTGATTGCAATCTTCGGTGAGCCACACAGTTTACCACACGTCGTCCGTGGATTCTGTCCAGTCATATAGCTATAAATAAGTTAACGGAGAGAACAATGTGATATCGGTAACAATGGTTTCTGCCCTGACCCTTTGTGCCAGGGACTATCTTTATCGTGCACCGGTCAGAGGCCGAATAAAACTATAGCTGTAGGCCCTCTGCAGACTGAGCAAATTGATTTACTTACAAAATGTTCATTATCACCTATTTTCTATAAAACGTTTTTCTCTCAGTGTTAACCCAAACAAGTACACCCAGCAAGCAATGAAACCGAGGGGTACCCCCCCAACATGTCCAATCCCTCTACACATTCCAGACTATTTTTACTTAACACATCCCCCAAGATGTCTAAAAGGAATTCCCCAGATTCCTGTGAGACAATGATCAACACAAAGCAAGGGGGTTCTCTCCGTCTCATACCTTGCTGCACATGTAAACAAGGCATCAGTCGCCCTAAGGGTCAGCGACCCTTTAGACCCGGTTTGAAAAGCCCCCCCCCGTAGCCCACACTGTATAATGCCTGCCCGGTATTCAGGCTACTCCAGGCCGGTATCAGGCCTATCTGGACATCGACATTTCAAAGTTCCTGATGAACGGCTTCCCCCACCCTGCCTCCACAGATGAATAGGGGTCTAAGCGGATTAGTGTAAACACTGTATAGAGCTGAAGGATTAAAACCACAAGCAGGTTCCTTCTGGGATAGATTCCATGTACTAGTACTTGCAAACAGTAGACCCTAGGATGGAGAAGTTTGAGATCAACAACAAGTCCAGCATCCCAGGCCGGTAGCCAGGCCGGCAGGAAAGGGGTTTTTGCAACAGGGCGAGCTTACCGGGGGGTCGCCCTTTTCAAACCGGGTCTAAATGGTCACCGGCCCTTACTTTGGAAGTCTTTCCTCAGGCCCCCATCATTTTCGGGAAAGTAAAAAAAAAAATCTCTTTTTCCTTTGACGGCCTCCTTCCGCGGAGGATTACGTAATATACGATGATAGATGACACTTGACATTGCCATAAGTTGAGAGAAACTGAAAAAAAAAGTCCAGGGGATCCCTTCCCCTCCCCTATCCCCTCCCCCAGCGTCGGTGTACGTACTTGTGACCCGCGTACACCGAAATCAGGAATAAGTCGCAAATTGACTTTTAGAGATATGTACATCGCCAGAAAGAGAATTTCATTAGCTTTCAAATTGTACACATTACAAGTGTGTTGACAGTAACCTTTGATACATACACTTCCAAAATATGCAGAAACCGTGACATCGATTTTTTTTCAACATTAACCTACATCCCTACTTTACTCGCCATTGAGTAAAACGGTTTCAGTGACTTATTCCTGATTACTATGTACCGGGTCCCAATTTTTAGTGCCCTAAACACCCAACAGAGTTTGAGCCTACCCATGTTATGAGGCTCCGGGCTCGACCTGTCGGCAGCCCCATCTCAAACTGCACGCACGCAGATGATCTGCGTATTTGGCCAACATGTCGAGTGTTTGCCAAAAAGATCTTTCAAATCATTTTGTATTGTTTCGTAGCGTCTGTTCGCTCTGGTCTGATAATCACAGCCGCCTTCGTTGACAACATGAAGGAGAGAATGCTATCAAAAACGGACAGAGAGAGAAATTCTCACCTTGAAGACAGTTCACGCTCAAGTTGCAGCAGAACGTAAGTCGTACTCGCAGAATGGATCGTGCGCAGCCAGTGCCGGCATCATAGACTGTTCATCGTTGTGACGACGGTGACAGACTATTGACTGAGGCTGTAAACCTGGATGGCTCGATCATGACACACACAAACTGCATCTGTGCCGTTTGCTGGTAAAGGCCAAATGTCAAGTCGGTCATGCATATTTCATGTGGCACTATGTTGCGAAATCAGGGCTATCATACCCGCTGGTATATACAAATTGTGGCACAAACATTGTAAGCCCATTGTTAAAAACGCACTCAATTACAAGGCTTCCAGAAACAAAAATTGATGTATTCTCAACCCACAGCTGCGGTGGCATGCTCACATAGGTTATTTTCACTAATAGATTCATAATCGGCATGCACTGAGCATGAGTAGTCTTCACTCGGCCTCGTGGGAGCTGCTCCAGTTAAAATGTCTGACTTTACTACCGAAACGTATTGGATACTCTATGAATCAAGGGTCCGGTATCACCCAATGTCCACGTGACCAAGACTGGGGGATTCCTTCAGTTTTCAGGAAAATGGCCGAAATATTTCAAATTCGTCCCTTTTTTTTACAATATGTCCGGATGTTACCGTTGATGTTCGGTTATTCCTGGCCTGGTAGGTAGGCTTGCTGATGAACGTAAACTCCCGCATCCTTATGGCAGCTGTTGATCCTACAATATTTGACTTTACACTAAAATCGAAGGTCGCTCTGGCCAAAATCGGTACCTGACGACGACCGGCAAATGCCGACACATACAGGGTGCACCACTTTAATGAAATAGAAAACACCCGGGCTCTCCGCTTGTGATCCCTGAGTCATATCTATTTATATCCGTGGGTGATCCCTGGCCTAACATTTTTTAGCAAGAGTTGTCAGGTAATCTTTGAGCAGGGAACTGGACTACAAAGTCATGCACTTAGGAATCGCGAAGGTTGCACGACACCAAATGAACGCCCATGGAAAACAGTGCAAAATCGAACCGAAATAGCGCCGCCTGTTGACTCTCGTGAAGAGGTTGGCCTCGGTTTTTTCACTGGAAATTCAACATTATTGCCAGGAAATCACTTTTTTGTTTCAATTTCATGGGGGTTAGCCACGACAATATTTTTTATTTGCCTTTGAACAAAGATACCCCCAAAATAGTAAAACCAAGCGCTCATTTCCGAATGTAACCGCCCGCCTCTATCCAAAGTAGGTCCGCAATTTGGGTCTTTCAGTAAAAGAAATACCCCCAACAGTCAGATTTTAATGAAATTCGAAAGTGAGGCTTGGAACGCACAGAAATTATGAACAGTCTGGTGCCATTCTAATCGACCGTTTGCAACAACGCAATTTCGGTGAATAAGATTAAAAATGGCTTCTACCTGAATAAAGACTAATGCGCGGACTGGCAGCTTTTTCACCACTCAAGATAAGTATGGTTTCACTGTACCCAAATGACAATAGTTATTGGCCAAGATGAGCCTAGAATTCTTGCCCATTCACAATGAATAAGACCCAGTAGCATATATCTGTGCCGTGGAAATTGGGGAATGGAAAAAGGTAGAGGGGATGACTTGCCCGGCCATGGAAATTTGAAAAGCCGGAGGGGGGCATATACACTATATAGGAGGCAATGTTCATGATAAAGATGTAGATCTGTAATGTGTATCCAAATCATGCTGTCAGAATGGTATTATTACATGGCTTTTAAAAATTGTTTTCCCATTGTAGTGATATTGCAAACTTTTTTTAATTAGTCGTTGGGAAATTCTTAAAATTCTTCACATTCTGCTGTAATTTTTTTGGCTCATCACAAAAAAGTGTGGGGAATGATTCAATATCCCTTCACCTCAAAAAGTGGGGAGGGGTTTTTACCCCCACCCCCTGGATTTACACCTGTGACCAGACACATCAATACACCCACCACCACTGCTCGGAAGAATTAAGACTGAGAAAATAAGCGGCAAAAGGAAATTGTGGTTCACACTACGACAACGCCGCGACAAGTTCGTCAAGACAAAATGCGATAATATTCTAACTATAGACACACGAATTTAATCATAAATACCCAGACAGTCTCCATATACAATAACGTGCAATTTGACCGTGTATTAACATGCGATAAGGCCAAAAAGGTCTCCGGTTTCTGGTCACCGCGCGCGTGACCTGCGCGACGGCAATATGAAGAAGTTTTTTACTTTGCACAAAAACTTTTTCCAAAGCTGCCAAACCTTTTTGATCGTCAATAATTCTGCTATCGTGTACTTTTAACGTACTTTTGATGGGTGGGATTGAGTAATATGTACGGTGAACGAATCCCCCTCGGCCTCCATACATTTCAGTCGCCTGGCACTCTCATCAGAGGACGTCATTCGTGTATCTTTACACGAAGGCCGTTTCCGAATCAGTTGGCGGTGGCTTGACATTACGCATGATTCTATGGGAACTGGCCGTGGATGCTGCCAACTATCGGTTTAATTTTGGCCGTAGCCAATTGATTCAGATTCGGGGCCACGTGTGTGAATTGAACCAGACAAACGAAGTGGTCTTACATCTTACGTATACAAATTGAAAACGCTTTTAAGCAACAAACCGTGAGGAACCAGTCTATTTTAGTGTCGGCGAGGCAGTGGCGGTACATACGCATGCCGTGCATGCAGTGGCGATGGACATCGCGTTATGACATTTAACCATACAACTTACACAGTACACTTGCCAAGAATAAAGGTAGATTAGAGTGAGAGGAGGTTTTATTTTCTGAGCTAGGCCTATTTTTTCCTCAATATCTTATATGCAACCTGTTTCTTATAAGCTAAAACAGGAAACAATGTGCACACTATATTATTTACCTCATGAGAATTTTATTTTCATTTGGCCTCTGGAGCCGAACTGTTTTCATTTATTATTTTCTTTTCATATGTGCAACTTGTTTCCTCTGAGCTAAACCAGAAAACAATATGCAAAGAATGTCTTATAATGCTATCTCATGAGAATTTCATTTAAAACCGGAAACTGGAGCTGAACACTTATTTTTCACATTTAATTTTTCCATTGTGGTTGTGCTACTTTCAACAAAATAAACTCAATCTTGCCAAGAATGGAAACCTCTTGTTTGAGTGAGATGACTGAAACCATTGCCTCTTGTCATATTTTATGGTCTTTTTATTAATTCACACTTCTCATAGTAATAAGGCCATGCGCTCTAAAATATTTGAGCATCTACATCACGGGGGAAAAAAGCGCTACTACACCACTTTCGGACCAACAACATGGCCAGAAACTGGAGTCCTTTTTGTTTTTTTGCCTAATGCACGCCTGCTGAAAAATGATAATGCCTGCTGCATTAACCACGCGCTGGCAGCCTGGCAGCTGGGGTCAGTTTCATACAGCTGCTCAAGCACCTTGGAATTTTCTTTGCTGAAAAATTAATAAACAAAGGTTATCAGTTCAAACTCTGTGTGGTTGTCATGCAAACCATGACAGGTAAATTCCATTAAAAAACAATATACATCACGAGAAGTTTTGGCTGGTAACCTGATTTGTCAAGCAAGGTATTTTCACTCCCAATCAATTTTTTTTTCGCTTAAGCAGCGCTATGAAATTGGCCCCTGGAAACGAGACAGTCTATACGATTCTGATTGATCAAGAGTCTGTGTACACGCTGCTCGCCACGTTGGGGGCACGCGCCAAGTCCATAAAGAGATTCTATTGGACAACTTGCACGAGGAATATACCATAAAATGGACGGGGCGTTCGGGAAAATGAAAGTAAAATTCAAAAACAAAATCGTTGCAAATCCACCCTTTTTCAGATGACATCATTAATGAGCTCAAGCTTGCCCAGATTAGAAGCCATTTGTTTGAGTGACAAGAAAATGAAATCATTGCCTCAAAAATCAAGCTGTCATTTCATGTCATATTTCGTGCTCTTTTTATCAATAAAGAGTCGTTTATTCACACTTCTTATGGTAGCACGGCCACATGTTCTAAAACAAATGTGACGTGCTTTCTAATCTTTAACGAAAGTAATAATGAAAGAGGGCGCTGTAATAAAGTTGGTTGTTTTCTCATTTAGTCTGGTGCTCAATTTGCATGACTTGTTTGTGAACCAAATTCCCTAACTTCCTGAACAAAACTGGTTGTCGGAGGAGCTTGCCAGACGTCAGGGTTTGCTTTAATTTTTCAGCGCGAAGCACGGACGGACGCCGCGCTGTCAATTCTTCTCATGAAAAACAAGTAGGCCTAGGACCTACGGGCATGGCTAGAAAACTGCTCAGCTCTACCACCCTGTGACGTCGAGCCGTAAAAAAGAAACGTGGAGAGTCTGTTCGCCTGTAGCAGTATTTGTTTTGAGGATTTTGTACGTATAAGCACAAACAAGTAGTATACAAATACAGCATGGTTTGAGGGGAAGTAGGCAGGGATACTTGCAGCATCCATGCGTGCAGTGAGACTTGGGCTCCGTCTCAGGCTTCAACTGTTTTTTTTTTACTTCCTGACTTGGAGGTTGTAAGCGCAATATGTAAGTCTGATAGTACCACAAAACACCAAGTAAGATGCAAAACAGCCAAACATTACAGTATTTCAATTTAAGTTAAACGCTTCAGGCTCACAATCGGGGATTGGTTTCTGAAGCTTGAGATGGAGACGAAGTTGAATATTGGAAAATGGCCCCAGTGCCAGTGGGAATTAATTGTCCTGAGGTGTATGTCAGCTTGACTAGTATATATACCTACCGGCGTGAAGCGGAGGGAGGTAGTCAAACCATGGAGGAAGGAACACAGGTCAAACTGACCTACACCGTGGGACCAGTATTAATTCCCACTATTTTCCCTCAAACCATGCTCTATATTTGTTTTACTACACTTCATAAATATTCAAACAGAAATCTCACGTTACTTGTTTTCACAGACGCCCTTGTTGTTTCTCAGCTGCTAATTTTTTATGTAATGATAGTGGAGTGCAGATGTGCATGGAAACAGGGCTTCATAGTCTGGTGCTGACATACATGTACGTATGGGTCTTTACTATTATTGGGATACAACTCCAGACTGGTTCCGTAAAGATTACACGACACAGACTACATATTTATGCAGTGGGTCCCAGAGGGATTTTCGATGCTACCAGTACCAGAAAAAACTACCGCACAGCAGTTAGGTGAATACTCACCACTATGACATCACCTGGTCGCGTTTCATGTCTACTTCCCAGACGGGAGATGGAATCGGCCAATGAAGCACTCCAATTTGCTCATGAATATTTATGAGGTATAGTAATCTAGGATACGTGACAAACTAGGTTACTACTGGAGGCTATCGTTAGCCTCAGGCCACGACATGCATGAGAATGAAAGTCTTAGATTTGTGTCCGGAACATTTTGGAAAAGCATGAGGCTTTTGGGGGGAATTGTGAATTTCAGGGCCCCCCCCCCGTGGTTTTTAGTTACTTTTGTGAATAAAGATAGGCCTAATGCAAAGCCCTGAAAAAAGTTTAAGCAAATACTCGTGGAATCAGGCAATATCTCTCCATTGCCAAGGCCCTATTTGGGTTGCATTTGGAAGAGTCAATTCGGAGAAAAATGTGACATTCTCCCCTTATTTTCGTCAACGTGAAGAGGCGGTCATGTTGACATGCACGAAAATGACTAGGCCTAGATTCTCCGGGCAAAAAACCAAACCATTCCTGATGTAGTTTGATCACCAGTGTATAAACTCAACTAGGGTCTTTGAATGCAACTACACTGCGTATGAGTTGGTCGACGTACATGTACATGTTGGTACGACTTCATGCTTACGAGTTGGTATGCATACGAGTTGCAACATTCCCTTATAATCACCTGTCCAAAATGGCAGTGCCATGCTAGACCATCAGATAGAGTTAGGCGAATTTTATATGCTAGCATTTTTCCACGCCACCAAAGAAATAATAATGTGCAACTAGATGCCAGCAACCTACTTCAGTGTTTTTCAATATTTTTTTTTTCTTAACCAATAGGCCTACAATGTAATTTTTGCATTCACCATGTTCACATTTCGTAACCAAGTGAGCCCATTGGCAGGGCCCGGACAGAGGTCGATGGCACGTGTTGGAATCACGGTGTGGTCCCTTTCAAGGTTTTTCCTTGGCCCCCAAAAGTTTGCAACATTGTCTTTGAAAATACATGTGCATGTCAAAGCAGGAAAGTTCTGTTGAATTTGAAAAATGTAAATATGCCACCCTTACCACAGTGCCATTTAAAACTTTAAACACAACAAATTGTATTCAGCGTACATGTAAATAGTCAACACAAAGTTGATGTATTCATGTTATTCCTTTGATATCACCAAGCAGTAAAGTGTTCCGAAAATCAGATTACCCCAATTACATTTTACAGGCATCGTGTACAGTAAAAATAACACCAGAGTGCATCAAAATGTTAAACCTGTAAAAAGGGGCGGTTCCGTTTAAACATTTGGGGACTCTGTAAACACATTTTGGGTTTTTTTGTATAGCAATCTCAACAGTGTCAAATCCTCAGATTTCAAGATTACTGTACATACATGTACATGTACACCTTTGACCCTTGGGGGTTAGGGTTAAACATTTACGTGTAAGCGTCCCACCCTTAATGCATGTACATGTCGTTTCATAATTGGCCTGGTCACCACAATGAACTTTTGAAAGTGTGGCATTTGTACTCGTCGGTGTGTCCTGTAGGCCTATGTGAATTTTTTTTGATCATCCGTTTTCCTAAGGTGGCTTACCAATTGGTCCTAACTGTTCTTACGCTATAGTCTGTCTTCTTGCTGGCAATTCAGACATCAGTAAGGACAGTGGAATATCGCGGAACGCACGGCCGGGCACATGTGGGCATATCGTAGTTTAATGAGCAAGCTTGTGCTGGCCCTATTGCCTGTTTGACCAATGTACCTGAATTATGAAAACACACAAGACGGCAAACCGGAACCAAATACAGCGTTCTCTCTGCTGACTAGACATACTGCAAATGACCTTCATACTTTTGGGTCTCTACCTCTGGAAGGAAAGACTTGTCTTTTAACCCTAACCGCCAAGCATATTGTTTGGCTTACACTACACAGTACTACAAAATACTAAGTAATAGTCTGAGCCTGTAGGACCTAGCGCTACAGATCACTACTACTGGCTAGGTTACTTCCATTGTTACTCATACAGAGAACAATAAAGCCAAGCATTCATAGTGCCACAGCACTGTATGGTACATTGTCTTATCTATTGTGTCTTATGGCTTCACAGAACCATAAAGTCCTGTCCTCTTACAAGCGACAGTGCTCAGTACTACATTTTACAAGAAGTAGTAATTTGGAGTATTGCACACTGTGTGTAGGGTTAGGGTTAAGGAACAATGCAATTGTTTTTCTTCTTAAATATATGGAAACTGTTTGAAATCTGTTGTGTGTTAAGTGAACTGTAAAGTGCCGCATTTGAAACATTGAGTGCGAGGAGAAATGCAATTTTTTTTATACAAACATTCAAACTGAACCATTTTATCTCATGTAACCTCAGTTTTCATTTTTTTTCCCGTTGCTGTTGAAAGGGTTTTGCTACCTTTTTATGCCAGTGATATTTCCATATTCCTCCACAAAACTGATGTCCTAGGCCAAACAAACTCATTATTATTGGGTTGTGCACAAAAATGCTTGTGCAGTTTAAAAGGTTTGCTCGCCTAGATTTATCTGGTTCATTGTTGGGTAAGTACACATCAGTAAGCAAGCAAGCAAGCAACCATCCCTTCTCAGAACTGTCAGCAGCAAGACCAAAATCACAATTGCGCTAATAAATCACTAATTGCACTTATAAACATTCGGTGTGAATGCAGTTGATTGGGCAAAACTCAGTCACGTACTGATTCTTTATGATTACTTTTCCATCCGTTGTCCCGGTGTTCTTTATGTTGTTTTTTTTTCCCCTGACAATAATTTTCCACAGCTTAACCCAAAGTGCAACAATCCATGTAAATGAAAATAAGGAAAAGAAGCACTCTGATACTCTGATGGTATGCTGAGTGACGAGCCAAACATAAAACAAGGGATACAAAAGTCATCAGACATCCACATTATACAGAAAATACGCCTTAGCGATTTCATTTGCATACTGTTATATTTCTCTTGGGTGTTGTCTATAAGTTAGGAGAGTCTTTGTGTGTTCATTTTTCAGATCACAATTTTTTTAATGAAATTCTTTGCTGCTGCCGTAGAGGATGCATGTGGAACACTGATATAAAATCTTCATTCTTATTTCTAACACACCCTAGCAGATCCTTCAGAATCCCTTTAGTGTACATGGAAGAAGGTGAAAGAAAGATGGAGGAAGGCAGATCCCAACCACTTAACAATACAAATCCCTTCAGTCTGTTGGCATTGAGTGTGGGTGAGGTAGAAATAGGAAATGAAACAGGGTGCTCAAGAATCAAGTTTGTGTTTTAACAAGCCCAAATGAATTCCTGTTTCAATGATTTTCTCTCGTTTGCAGGTAAACAACAAGAAAACAATTGCCATGTTTGATAGATCCAGAGAATAAGAATAACAGAAATGCCATCAAGGGGGTCAATATCTGGGGTGAGCAGGTGGGCCACATCAAGCGAGAGATGGTGGCAGCTTGGGCACCCGTGATTGATGGAAACTGGCTGATATCGAAAGGTAAACAGAAACTGACATATCTCTGCAGATATCACAGACGCCACTGAATTGATAAGTGCCCACCACAAACTGACCTTTTATTTGACAAGAGATAGTCTATGTCTATAATTACTCATCACGCCCTGCAGTCTGTGCATGATGTGTCACATCAAGGTGTACACATACATGTATGCACGTGTCGGTCTGAGGTACCACTGACGATATGTCATCTGGGCCAGTGCCCAACCCATGCACAGTATGAAGATTAGGAGTGTATATTGTAGAAGGATCAAGCTTGTCATTTTGTATACCAGCCTCAGTTTGGTTACATTTGCTTTCAATGGTAGAAAACAAGATGGCTGTCCCATCATAAAGCTCAATAGGCCATATTTGGACCCCTCACTGTATGTATTCAAGTTCTAAAAGCATGAAATATCTGCAACTTTATATGTCAGTTTTTATCATTTAAGGCAAATAAAAGCTAATAGTGCAAAATGTCAGTGTTGCAGAATGCTTTGCTTGAAATTAACTTGGAAGACTTGTGTCATTTTACCCAGATTCAGAGACAGGTGACAGGTGGTATAAACAAAGTAAAGTCATAAGGGTCAAACAGAAAAAATATGGATTACAGTGAAACAAAATACATGAAAACTGTGAATGTTATATGGTGGCAAAAATAAAGTCTTTGTGAAGACAGAACTGGAAGAAAGGTCTTGACAAGTGCTCAGGCTTGCAAACTTAAAAACATTTGTTATAAAGCTCAGAGAAATTGACTTGAAATTGACTGAACCTTTTTGACATGGGCTGTTTGAAACCAGTTTACTTAAATAGGGAGGATCGTCATGTTCAGAGTAGTGTTTTTTAACTGAGAAAACCTTTCCAGGAGGTCATTTCTTCCTGTTCATTGACAGTGTTGTTCCCTTTGGAAAGAATAACACCTACCGCATCCCTGTCGACATCTCAGTCTGGGGACGAGCTGACCAGAAACCCCGGGTCGTTGATATGCTAGCATACCGGGGAGTGAGGTTTGATCCCCCACGCTCCCTATCAGAGCATTGGAGAGGGGGCATGGCACAGTCTGGTCCAACAAAACTTTATAAGCCACGAGCCTCAGCTGCCGGCCCTGTTGAACTCACCAAAGCTGAGGTGCGTTTTGTTTCTTACTAACGTTGAGAGTGACTAACCAAAAATGTGAAATTGAGTCAAGGTCTTCAACAGTTGTCAATTGCTGGTTTTGCTCTTGCGTCTCATGTTTAGACTCTCTTGTCTTTTCACGAGACCACTGACGTACAGCTGCTGCATGGACTTAGTCAACTAATGAGTTCGAGAGTCAAATAGAGTGGCAACCTCATGTATCGAGTGATCAAGTCACAAGGCTTTCCACCGACTATTTTCCCTTTTTTTCTGTTCAAACTTTGATGGTGAAATTCTCACCAGACTATGAGAATTTAAGTGGACGACACATACATTTATTCATACTAGGGACCATTGGAAATGGTGCGGAAGCGGAATGCATATGAGGCTCCGGAAAATTTTGGTGGGTACAACACTGATTTGTACAGTTTTGAAAACCTACATGTACGTGTCGAAACGCGAGCCAATTGATGCGTGTTGGATGAAATGATCACACACAGCTGTGATTTATACCACTGAGTGTTTCTGAACCGCATGTGTGTGTGATGGGTCACATTTCTGGTGATCCTGATATTGGCTGTGCAGGTTTTGATTTCCTACACGCGGGCCTTGCTAAGTAGTGTTTCTACAAAGGCTTTTTAACTTGCACCCTGTGTCATGTTTTCTGCATCTTTATTGCCGGATCATATGTGCCAAATCAGTGTATTTGTCACACATTGTCCTGATCTGATATTACTTAGACATAGGCCGTGTCCGAAACGGGCTTCCAGAGCTGTCAAATTGGAGTTGACCCTTTGTCCCTTGAACCTTTGTCCAATCTGGGATTTCAACCATTGTTTTTGACTGTTGTGTGTCCAGATGAACAGTGAAATTGATTGACTGTTTGATGACCTGAAACAAGTGGGAAAAACAACCATCACGATGGAACCAGCAGAGGTAAATTGGAGCAGCTTTTTGTCTTGGTGCCTTTATCATGGTTGATATAATTCAGAGTGGTAAGTAGTTTTAGACCAAGTTTTAGGATGGAGAGCTGTGACAGAGAGTTAGTGTTAACTTTGCAACGTCACTGTGCCTGAGCATTGATCCAGCATTCTGTTAGGATAAGCAATTGTCATAGGGTAATCAACATGTCGCATTCATAATGCAGCTTCATTTGGTGTATTGCCTTTATTGAACTCTACCAGGCAATCACCAGCAAACTTTACCCACACCAAAAGCAAGCTCTGAACTGGATGTGCTCCTTAGAGAATTCAGACAACCTCCCAATGCTCTGCCTATCTGAACACAGAAAAGACCCAAGTAAGAAACTTTGTGCTTGTGTGTGGATTTTGCTCTTAATACATGTCGTTAGCCTCAACTGTCCTCTAGCCATTAGCCATTGAACATCCAGCAGCGGCCAATCCACGAAGTCACTGAGTGAGAACTCAGCATCATTTCATTTTAGAGGGGTCTGATGGCCCTGATGAATCCGCACCACAGGTCCATGATAACTGTGTGCCTATTCGCCTATGGCTTGAAATGCGCTTGACCAATTTTTATTTGAGTGTGTAATGGTAATAATATTGATTATGGATAGATGTAAAGCGCTGGTATCCAGCAGGCCTGGTGCTCAAGGTGCATAATTATTACCCCTGCTCACTGTGCCTGTGTCACATCAGTCCCTTATGGACATTCATGCTTGAACAGGAACCCCCATCCAGAACAGCATCAAGGACCTGTAGCCCCTGATGGCCTTTCTTGGCCTGGAACCTTTCAAGTCTGACAGCGTGTGGTGGCAGCGAACCATCGTCAGGCCCATCAACCAGGGTGACAAATCTGCTATAAAGTAAGCCTTTTGAACATTTCTGGGGTTCTTTGATCTTCTGCCTTTGTGTACTCAATTTTTTACTCATTTTCACAATACGTTTGCATACGCTGAATGTACATGCTGTCTCACGGCTCATTGTCATGTCTTGAAAGTGGAACAAAAACTGTCTTGATATTGAGTGTATGGTTGCTCTTCAACCTTCGGTAATGTTTGTCAAAGATGTGCAGTGACAATATGGCAAATGCGGTTACAAATTTGTTGTGTTGAAATCTTTAAACTTGTAACAGGGAGATAGACCAAAGACTAGACATGTTGTAATGAAATAGGAAAAATCTTGTCGACTGAAATTTCAGGACTAATGAGGCTGATATGCAGTTGTTTGTCTTTGAAATGCAGACAAATAACTCAGCTGATGGAGCAGATTTTCTTGCGCCGCACCATGACCTAGGTCAATAGTCAACTTCTGGTTGACCTGCCGGCCAAGTTGATCTTCGCATAGAAGGTGGAGTTTTTGGCTGATCAACAAGCAGTGTATGACAGCATGGCAAAGGAAGGAAAGTTGGCCATTGGCAAGTAAGTTGTTAGGATTGCCCAAGTATTTGATACCACTGAAATGAGAATAAGTCAGTTTGATATTCCAATGTTGGATGCCCAGTCTGAAACACATCAGACCAGGCCTCGACATTAATGGTTGTCCAGTTGCCAGGCACAAGCAATTTCTTTGTTCGGGCAAGTAAAACTCAAGGACAAATTGCCGGGTTGACAGATGCTTGTTTCTTGACATACAAGTGTCAATTTTTCATGGCCAAGAATAGCGGTCATAAAATTTACCTTTGATTTGTTTTCCCTCTTCACAAAAGCTGATGTGATGTACAATGATCTTTGGCATATAAAGTATAAAACACACTGTGCACTTTAATAGCAGGGCACCTTTCCACACAAGGGAAAATGTGTACTCAAGTAAACTGTAAAATACCCTTGTGTCTGGGTACCAAACCTCATTGCTCATTGCATGCGCGGGGCAGCGGAGCTTTGATGGCCGGACGCTCGACGACTGTTTTACATGTATCTTTGACTTCAACATTAATGAATGTTGCCTGGTATTTGTGCCTGTACTTTTTCCATACGTGTATGTGACACCAGGCAAAATCGTCGAGTGGTTTAGAAATAGCTGTTCCCACTCCAGAACTTGTACAAATGATGCATCCGAGTCCTGCGCACTCTCTGCATACATGCAATAGTTGGGGGTGGTGTACACGGGCATATTCATGTCGTATTATTGGTGTGTTTGGGCAAGAAAAATCTTTATACCTTGGGCAAGTAAATTTTCAGTGCCACTTGCCCAGTGGATAAGTAGTTTTAAAAATTTATGTTGAAGCCTGCACCAGACACTGTGCGATGGTCTGTCCTATTAGCACAGCCATATGTCGACTCATGTGGCCACTTTGTCCCCGAAAGACCTTGCCTTCAAGAAATACCAAGCTGACTCATTGTCTAGACACCACTTTCATTTATGCATGGAGTATGTTGTAATAGGGCCTACAAAGTCCTGTTGGGTTTGACATCATAGACGTGTCCCTTTTCATTTTTGTTCAAGTTCTCCTGTGGATCATTGACTGTTCACCTCAAGTGGGGGCAATTTATTTGGCAATGACTAGAATTGCTTGGTATTTGAAATCAGTTTGAAACAATGGCAGTGATGAATGGTAGTCAAAAAGTCTGGGAGTGTGGGTTAAAGGACAATGTGATCACATTAATGGGGTTGGCAAGGTCCATGTAGATATGAGATTGTGGAGGAGTAGAATTATCATAAATGACAGCAGAGAAATGTGAATTCAATCAAGGGAACTGATAAAAATCAACTATCATTTAGGGTATGCGGCGTTTCACATTGCGGCACTTGAAGTGGTAAATGGCAAAGTTTAATAGATGAGCATAGTAGAAAGGGCAGCATTTGACTGTATAATGGAAGTGTGAGTTTTACTGAAATGGACAAAATTCTCTCACATGTATACAAGGCCAGCTGCTTCATCCGTGACCACGTAGTCGCCAGGTCCCTTAGTTCGCCACTTACTGTGAAAACCAATCAGACTTGACAATAGGTGGTGATATTAGGGACCTCAGTGGTGACTATACGGTCACTGATGTTTATTTTTAAAAAATGAATTTTTGAAATCGGATCTGTGCTAGTGAGGGCATCACCAACATCTTTCAGTATGTGTGTCTTACTTTAGTTGGCTGTTTTGTTAATCAAGAACTTTGATCTTCTATTTTATAATAGTTGTATTCTATATATACATGTACCACTTCATGTATGATGAAGATTTGAAATTATTTTATTAAATCAACATACTCGGACATGTATAAAGTAAAACAAAAGTGAAGCTCAGTCGAATTACTAGTCTGTGGTACCATTTTTAATGAACATTTCATATAAGTCTCCCCCCTCTCACTGTCACTTCAGCACTGATACATGTAGGTATTTCAACACAGGAACTGTGCTGGCTAGTTACGGCAATGTCCTGGCCATTCTGTTGTGCCTTCGCCAATTATGCTGTCATCCAGCTCTTATTGCTGCAGCTGGAGCTCTCCAAGAAGGTACATGATCCTTCCTGCACCATTCCGAGTGCTTTCACCTGTGTCTCGTTACCACCTCTGGAGCACATACTTCTTAGATTTGGATCCTGAAGAGAGCATTTTTCCCACGCGATAAGAGTCCTGTCTCACATGTTCTGGTGTTGGAAGTTATAATAGACACCTAGACTTCTCTTGTGATATGTATACACTGAAGGCAAATTGAATTGTTTTAAATATGTTTCAGTGGTTTCTCATGTTGCTTGATGTGTGTGTGTGCATATTTTTTCTGCATATATTTTGAGTGTGTTTTCCAATTTTGAATTGGGTTTTGAATGATTGTGCAAGCACAAGGCCTACTTTCTAGTATTACTTTGAATACAGAGTTTAAGTTTTTATTTTAGTGTAAAAGCGCTTGGGTTGTTAACAGATATCCCAAGATGAAGCTTTTTCCAATCTTTTCCTCCCCTTTCTTGTAGTGGACTCTGCCTCAGTGGGGAAGGCCAGGACGAGTTGAAGAAGAAACTTGTTGAAACCTTACTGGCAGTACTAAGACAGGGAGCAGATGAGGTATAGTATGATGGGAATTTCAAGTAAACTGTCTTGCCTATGGACACAGTATTTATTGATTCCCTGACAGAAGACCTGTAACCATTTCTGTTGAATTAAGTGGCCAATCCTCTGCACCACACATTTCCATTATTCCTTGAACTAGCAGCATTTTTTCCAACAATTGCTTACTTTAGTGCACTAGATTTTAGGCGCATGACAGAAATCTTCCCAGACTGTCTATATACTGCAGTGGCTTCTAAGAGCAATGAGCCGGTTCGGTATTCCAAGTTGGCATTTCCAACAGCTCATGCTCAGTACGAGGCTATTCAGGAACAGCTACACGTGTGCTTGATAGTCTAGCCCATCAGTGAAGCCATATGCTGACGTGCATACTTTGTTCCCGAAAGAGCTTGGCTTTTTGAAATACAGAACTTTCTCATTGTGTAGATACATTTCTACATGCACCTTGACAAATGCACTCAGAATGTACTGGTATACATGCATTGATTAAACCCTATAGAGAGAGGAGGGGCGTCTGCCCCCCCCTTGACATTTTTTTCCACACATTGAGCCTCGAGGAGTTTTTCCAGTAATATCGTGCAGTCATTTCAGCACCGATTTGTGAAAATCTGACATACCAGTCTTGCACTGTGCCCATTTTGGAGCAGGAACAAAGAATCGTTCATAGAGCAATTTCAAAACCCTTCATGAGTTCGTCAAACAAAACCATGCACATGACAAATGCCCCAACTTCACACTGGAAAAGTAAAGTCTGAGTCATTGATTCAATTCAACATTCAGCGCAGGTGTACAGGTCCTGTGGTCATGCATGACGCTGTCTCAGTATGAACAGGTATTTTGTCCTTGCCAAGCTGGCCGGTAGAGGGCATGAACTTAAGGATACATGCATGTGTTAATTTATCTGCGTTTTGCATTAACATGTTCAGTGTACAGGTATAGTTTATTATCTTGAATTCCGTCTACCCTTAAGATCACCTAGTCTGGTTTCATTGCATGAAGAAGCAGTCCTTGAATACAGCAAAGGTCGAATTTAGCCCCAGCAATCTTCAATCCTTCACCTGCTGGGGGATTGAGGACCGTTAAGGGTCATATGCATTTTACAGTCCAAATGGACACTTGATCTGTTGTCAGGAGGACCTGGATGAAGGCAGGTTTGCATTTTCCCTCAACATTTTCAGGCCTGGAATCCTGCAGCTGAAGATCAGCGCTTTGATCGTTGCCATCGACTCAGACAAACCAAAGATGTTGTCATCATCAAGGTTGGAACAGTTTCCACTTTAAGATTGCCTTATATTGTCATGAAGTGACAGATAAAGACAAAAAGTCTCTAGTTTCTTGTCAGGAGCTGGCTGCAAAAATGGTGTGGCGACGCGGCTTTTGTTTTTTCCCCTCACTTTTTTTTTTCTGGAAATGATGTACATGTACGTAAAATGCGCGATGTCCATCGTGACTTCCATGAACGCCGCCTGCTACCAACACTAAAATAGACTGGCCCCCACCCCTGAACATTTTGACTGTTTAAATGCATTTTCAGCTTACAAGTATATGTACACTGGACTTAAGACCACCTCGTTTGTCTGGTTGCCAGATCAGAATTTATAATACAGAAATGACGTCATCTGAAAAAGAGTGCCCGACTAAATTAATGGAGAACCAGAAGGACTCCTTTACTCTAAATATTTCTCAACTGTACCCCATCAAAAACATGTAAATTACGCAGTAGCAGGATTTCAGTCGGTTAAGCAAGTTTGGTAGTTTTTTGGACATCATTTTGTACCTAAAACTGCTTTATTTTGCCTATGCGCAGGTGTACGACAACGCGCACACTGACCAGAAACCAGAGACCACTTAAGCTAGGTGGCAACTGGCAAAAAAAGAAGCTCAATTTGTGTAGATGTCTTACCGTATGCAAAAAAAACACTTTGTCAAATGATGCTAATTTAACAAACACCTTATCAGACAGACAAATGCAGATATGTTTATTGTAAGTTTTTCAAATGTTGCCTACAGTGCTCATATTCAAGTAAACAGTGGATTCCGTATACATACGTGTATAGTGTAAGGAAAGCAAAACTAGAGATTGTTCGCAGCATATTTTCTAGATATGCTATAAAATGCTACAGGAAAGTACCGGTATGCTTTTGAAATCCTTTAGACTTACAGAAGGCGCTCTTAATGAAGCATGTGACATCCATCTGCTTGTCAAATGTAATCTTTTGTAATTGAGCAAGCGATATGTTTTCAATCATTGAAATTTCAAATGTTGTCACCGTAAAGGAGTTTGGTGACAAATGTGTGCAGTTGTTCATCACTGAAAGACTTCTGAGGCAATTGTCAAAGCTCAGCTGACCTCAGAACCATAGGTCTGAAATGATCTTAAAAGAGTCCCATCCTTGGCCTAATATGGTTACACGATTTTGATGTTTCTGTAATAAAACATATATTGACCCCAATAAGTCCAAATCGCTACAAACTAGGAACACGGAGCTGGAAAAATGGCTGAAGTTGCACGACTTCACTGCTGGAACTATTGAGGGCAATATGTGGTCCTCATATGGAGGTACCAAACTTGTGGAGATGGATTGCCTAGGCCTAGTAAAGGGCACACACTAATGACCAGTTTTGTATACATGTGTGTGCAACTGTTATCTTTGGAGCAAGCGCTGTACTGTGGGCATTTTGATTGTTTGTTACAGGGGTTCTTATATGAACTTACCCTCAGAAAATGGGCTGGGAAGAATCCGAGATCATTCACTATGATCATTGCCAAAAAATACCTACAGTTGACAGTCATATATTGCACAATGTGTTCCACTGTACCTCCAGAATTGTTTCTTTCTTTGGAACATCAGTTCATTGTGAAGGACTCCATAGAGGAGCGTATGCTTGAACTTCAGGACAAGAAACGCAAGCTGATTGCCAGGGCCTTTAGCAAGAAACTCACCACAGAGGAGAGACAACAGGCTCGCATCAATGACATCAAGACATTGATGGACCTCTCTGGCATGGTGCCTGGCCAGTCCACTAAGTAGAGGTAACAAAGATGCACGGGAGCAGTGTGAGAGATGTGGATCAAGTTCAAGGTGAGCAAAATTGTTTGTTTACTGATGACGCAGAAGCAACTTAGAACAGGTGCATTGTTCTTACACAAGTTTTGCTCAAAACTAGGTCACACTTTTCTCCTACAGTGTGAATAGATAATTGCTGAATGTTGTTTTCCTGTGTTCATGGAAATGCAGAATCCACATACAGAGCTACATAATATTATGCAGTATTGATTTTTATTCTTGCCTTTGTACTTGATTGTGCCATTTAACTTTACTTCATGGAAGATAAGTAGAGATCATTGTTGATTTTCTTGTGTAATTCATGTATCTTCCAGAACCTTTAAGGCTGAGTTCGGGCAGCTTGTTCCCGTATGTTCACGAACAGCCCGATTTGTTGTTCTTGGGTCGGCCGCTCGAACGCCGGAAACAAACAG